CCAGGTCCTGCCTCAGGAGATGGCCGGTAGCTCAGCATCCACTCTTGTCATATAATTTTATTAGAAAGCTCAGTCATCTGCAAACCATCCTATACTTGCTTGCAGGTACACAGAGCATGTACTCATGCAACAGAGACCACGAGGCTGCAAAGTAGAGCCCAGCTACAGTCGGCCCCCTGCAAAAGCAGTTGCTGACAGCTCTGTGACCTGGCCCACGTACCCGTGATTTAGGCACACAGGCGGCCCCACTTCTCTAATCAGGCAGCCCTTGCTTTCCACCAGGTTTCAACTCAAAAGCCATTTCCTCAGTGCCACCTTCACCGAACCTTCTAACTCAGAGTCAGACCCTCAGCAAACATCCCTGCACAAGCAAGGTCCCACGATGCCACCTGGTACTTTCTGGCTCACTGTGTGCCCCCAGTGAAGAAGGGCCTGCTGACAGGGCAGCTGTTTAGCAATATGATGAAGGCAGAGGAAAACTTCGACTAGGTAACGAGCAACTTCTAGGAGAGCTGGGTCCAGACTCAGTCTCATTCAATCTGTTTCACAGCTGGGGGTAAGCCATGGCAGGAGGAACTGCACTCTCCTGTGGAAACACTACTTCTGTTTTCTTTAATTTTAAATTTATGTACTCTACTCACTGTACGAAACTTCTGAAAAGACCACACAGAAAAACAAAGTGAAAACTGCCTACAAGCCAAGGAGACGTCTGCCCTCCCCTACAGCTAGGATGAGAGGAGGGGCCTGGGCAGCAGTGAGGTGGTGATAACCGGCAGGGGCTGGGCCCCAGACTCTGCTCTTCACAGTGCCTGCCCCAAGAGGGTAGTGTCTGCTTGTGCCTCTTTCCAGGAGCAGTGGTGGGCGGGTCACTGTGCAAATGTAGCACAGAAGGAGAACTCAGGGACTCAGGTCCAGTGAGATGTGCACATGGCTATGTCACATGAAGCTTCAGGAAGCCCTAATTCTGTAACCCTGTACTGCAGCTAGAATCACCACCAATGTGGCTACTCTCTAGTCTTTCCTATGAATCTTCTTTTTTAAATATTTTTATACCTTTATTTTTATGTGGTGCTGAGGATCGAACCCAGGGCCTTGCATGTGCTAGGTGAGCACTCTACCGCTGAGCCACAACCCAGCCCCTCCTATGAATCTTCTTAACCATCTCCCTCAGTATGGGAAACAAGAGAAACCTAAAGATTAAAAAATGAAGAATTATACTCTACTTTTCACCACTAGGCTGTGATACCCTCTTTGGGATAAACATTCTAATAAGGCACTTACTAAGTTTATTCTAACACCAGGAAAGGTAACAATCCAGTCTTAATAGGACTCCATGGCCTGAATCTAACCTTGGGGGACACCCCCACCACTTTAGTCTTGGGTTCCACAGCTTGTACTTTTGTGACAAGGCCAATTCCTGTTGTAGCTCTAGAGGGAGGCTGTGTGCTCCTCAGAGGCTTCTGCACATAAGCAAGTGCCAAGAGGACACACAGCAGCTCCAGAGGCTGGGGTGGGGAGTGCCTGCAGGACAGCTATGCCGGTGGCCCGGTGCTAAAGGTCAAGCAGCATAGCCTCCCAGGGCTCCAGAGCTGGCGTGAGGCCTGGCCAGCCCTTTCGGCCACAGGTCTGTGTTCCAGCCCAGGGCCTGTCTCTGCTCCTTGCACTCCTTCCCCACTCACCTAGGCCACAACAGGCAGGGCCTTCCTTCAGGGCTCCTACCATCTGCTCGTCATCTGACTCCTGGCCTGAATCTTCCTGGGGAAAAAGCAACACAGGGCAGCTCTCTGGTCTTTGGCATCTTGCCTGTGCCTCCGTGTAACAGAACAAAGGCTGAACTGTGACTTTTGGCTTGGCTCATCCTAAATGTCCACCTGACACCTGGCAGCCTGGAAAGGACAAAAGTTTGGAGCAGAGGGAGAGGATTGCCAGGTGGAGCCTGAGTCCCATCCCCCCTCCCTGCTGTGTCAGGACACCATACCGGAGAGAAGACCAGGGACCTTGGAAAACCAAATGCTACCCATGTCACACAGCAACAGAAAACAAGTGGTTCTGGATTGGGAGTTTGATTAAACTGCAGATGACAGTGAGTCTGATATTGGGAGCTCAACCTGCACATCCCAAACTCCGGCAAGATGGGCTTGTGAAGTGATTGTACATGTACCTTGAAGTACAAAAGTTAAGTCTCTTCTGCTCTGTTGTAGCTTTCTCTGCAGTTCTGGGGTGGAACCCAGACCTCTCCTGTGTGTGCAGAGCACACTAGTACTGAATGTATATATACCCCACCAGAAGTGAAGCCTTCCCTGTGTATCTAAGTATGCTGGGATCAACTGTGATCCTAATGTTTTCTTTATCCTGCAACTGGGTGCTGACTAGCTGGTAAGCGCAGAGGGAAAGGAATCACACAGCTGGTACTTCCCCTTTCATATCTTTACATGTTTTGAGGTATGGATCAAGGAAATGGCAAGAGTCTGGAACGTAACAGCCTGTGAGCCAGGCGCACCAGGGCTGAGCAGGAGTTCTGGACTGTGGCTGAGCTCACAGGCTCCACATGCACCCTCCTTCCTTAGAGGTGGCTCTCAGGGACTTGGGCTTCAGAGATGGCCCATTGAGTTCCACATGGGCTTTTTTTAGGACACTCCTGAGCGGCAGTCCAGGCCCTCCTACTCCACACCAAGCCAGAAAACTGTCAGTGTCGGCACCCTATTCCTCACCAGCAAACCCTTCATTCCTTGGTGGAGCTGGCTCCACACCGCCCTCCCTGCCTCCACCCCCTTGCCATGAGGGCCAGGCCATCCAGCACAGCAGCCACAGGGCTGGTCTGCTCGGCCCCACTGGTCTTGTGGCCCAGCCAGTCTCCCTCAGGCCTTTCTTATAGGAGCCCACAATCCAGGGACCAGCTGGCTTCAAGGTTTCCACAGGGCTCCACCAATGCTTCTAGGGCAGTAACCTCTTTTTTTTTTTTTTTTTTTTTTTTTAGGACACACCATCTTTATTTTTTTATATTTTTATGTGGTGCCGAGGATCGAACCCAGTGCCCCACGCATGCCAGGCGAGCGCATTACCACTTGAGCCACATCCCCAGCACTAATAACCTCTTTTTTTCTCACTTTTCTAAAATGTGCAAATGCAGAGTTTCATGGTACTTGAACTGGATCTTTGTGACTCAGTCTATGGATAACAAACTTCAGAGTTAACCTAGTGAACATTATGTGACCACAGCTGGTAACATTATGTTATGTAAATTAACTTCCATAATTAAAGACACATGACAGTAAATCAAATGCCATTCTTTAAATTAAAAGAAAAAAAAACTATTCTTGTTTATCCTTTTTTTTTTTCAAGAAATATTTTCCTCTACTGTTTGCCAAGGACTGTCAGGGAGTGAGGGTGCTAGAGAGAAGGCTCTGCAGTCAGCCCTCGGGAGAGCAAATGCCTAGTGATGTACTGCCAGCTGCAGAATGCGCTTCAAAGAGAATCACAGAGGGACAGCAATGAGAGGGTGGGCTGCCAGTGAAATCTTCAGACGTAGGACACCTGAGCCTTGTTTTGAGAAGAAGCATAAGGAACAAAGATTCCAAGAAAGGGCAACAGTGTCCATAGGAATCCCATGTTAGGAGGACTGCATGTTCCAGCTCACTGCCTTCAGGAGCCACAAACTCAGAAAGCTCCCTTCTCTTCCACATGTTTGGTACAGTGTTAGCCTCATGGTCTGCCTCTGTGCCCTCATGCCAATCGCTGAAATACTGTGGATCCCTGGGCAATGGGAACAGCAGGGTTTCAAAGGACAGTTTGTTTATTTCCAATGAATACTCAGTGTTATGATTTGGATCTAAAAATGTCTCTTGTTGTGTTATGCAATGTCACCAATGTTCAGTGGTGAAAAGACTGGATTATTAAGGCTGTAACCTCATTAGTAGATTGATTCATTTGATGGATTACCAATTTAAATGGACTACTGGGTGGTAACCAAAGGGAGGTAGGGTGTGGCTGGAGGAGGTACTTCACTGGGGTGCAGCCTTGGGGACTCTGTCCATGGCCCCTTCCTGTCTGTCTCTCTGCTTCCAGGCTTCAAGGAACAGAGCAGTGCTCCTCCACCATAATGTTCTGTCTCACCTGTCCCTCACCTGGACACAACCAACCATGGACCGGACCTCTAAAACTGAGCAAAAACAAACTTCTCCTTCTCTAAGTTGTTCTTGTTGGGTATTTTGGTTACAGTAACAATAAGCTGATGAACACACTCAAGATAATAGACATTTGGTACAAAGACAAATTTCAAACTATATTTCCGTTACTATTACCAGTTTAAAAACACTTCTCAGGATATGCTAACAGCCTGCAACACCCAGGGCACTGCTATCATAGTGCTGCACAGTATCTGCAAGCTTTCCAAACACATTCCCTAGAGATAACAGGTAATTTTACTGGTAAAGCATTATTTTAAACAAAATATTAGCAGAGTTCACTGAACTATTAATTGAATATTAGCTTTAACAATCATGTTTGTTCCTCTAAAAGCGTCTATGAACCCAACAAAGTTCAGGACACACAAACCAGACTTAAACATCCAAAGTGGAAGAGACTATGAGTAGTAATTCCAGTTGTTTAACTGAAAGAGAATGTGTGGCTGTCGATGTCCTGCCAGATTAGTGGGTGCCAGAACTCAGATCCCAAGAGCCCTGGGGGGCAGCCCAGCAGGAAACACCTGAAAGGAGAGTGATGAGCCGAGGTCTCCTGAACCCCAATCCACCTCTGCAAGGGAACACCTGCGAGGCAGGTCCTCAGTGGCTCTCAGACGCCAACACCCGCTGTGAGGAGGCGGTAGACCTGTGCAGGCTTCTCCTGGGCCCACACTTTCTCACTGCCTTCATGGGCACCACCCACCAAGCCACATTCTCAGAGCAAGAGTCACCCCACAGTCATCAGCCAGCACAGGGGCTCATTCAGGCTGYAGCTCCTGCCCCAGGCGGGGCGGGGTGCTGTCAGGCTCACTCCCCTACCTTTGCTGCCACGATGCTGAGGCCCATTCCATTCTGCTTCTTTAGGGTCACAGTGATTATTTCAGGCTCTTTCCTTAAAGGCTGGGCCTGAAGGAGGAAAACAAAGGCTCACTTTATGAGGAAAAGGAGAGGAAGACCCACCACCTCAGCCTCACACAGTGACCTGCAGAACTGAATTCTGGCGCTCTTGAGCATGGAGAGGACTGGCAATAGTACTATTTAAATGTTCTTTTAAGAACTTAATTAATAAAAACAAAGATGAATTTCCACTGCTCTCATGTTAGAAAACCTTCCCCTATGACAGAAATCCAATCTTCCCCTTCCCCTCCAGGTTCTTTTTGGGGGAGCGGAGGTTCAAAGAAATTTGAACATATTTCATATGGTCTGTAACGAGGATAGCAAAACCCAGCTATACCAAAGACAACTTAATATTTTAGTCTCTTGGGAAAATGAAACATCATTTTATTTTAAATGGAAAAGAAAGTGGCTGCAGTTGTGTAGCGGCGTTCAGAGTCCCTGCCAGAAGCCCAGCGGGGGCGGGGGGTGGTGGTGGTGGGGAGGTCTACCCAGAGGGGTGAGTCGCAGCACAAGGCCAGGCTTGAACTGATTCATCAAACTGGAAAGAGAAGCCGTCCAAAGCCACGTGTCCTATACATGCCACGCCTCATCCCAAAGTGGGGACAAAACCTGAGACACACCAGCAGCACACAGGCCACAGAAGCTAGGCAGCAAAACCCAGGCCACGTGCAGCAGCGTGGCCATGCGTGGGCCACTTAGTTATGGGACAACAGCAAGCCTGAGAGAAAACATTTTGAAGGAAAAAAATAAAATCAGGTGATAAAGGAATTAAAAAAAAAATCAAGACTTGAAATCTCCTAAAGAATCCAAGAATTAGAAGGTGAAGAACTGGGGATTCCTTCCAGGAAAGTACTTGTTTTCCTATAAAAATCTGGTAGTCAGAAGTGGATGCTATAACTTTGAATTTGGCAAACAATAATCAGCGATGGTTTATCAGTAGTTAAATGTGATTACACATTTGGTCTAATAGAGCAATCAATCAATTTTTGGAGATGGCTCTGCTACTCAGATTTAAGGTATGCTAGAAGAGCCAAAATAAATTGCTCTGAATTAAATGAGCATCTTTTTGTTTAAAACTTTCTGTACAAAGCAAAGGAGAAATTTCCCTTAAGATGTAGAAGCTCTTTACTATTTCAAAAGATGCAAAATATTAGTGAAAAGCCTGATGTACATTTAAGAAAAGGTAGAACTGACTAGAAAAGAATAAAATATTTTTTGCCAAGGAAATATATTTTTCTAATAAACTCTGTTAAGAACACCATATTATTACATTTTTAAAATATGCATTAACATTAAGGCTGGCATAATTCTGAACTTAAGTATTCTTTAAACAGCACAATTTGTTAATAGATGAAAGTGTAAGATAGATGCGGCCCAGGGAAATGTATCTATATATAAATGCATGTTGTCTTCATAAATCATGGTTTTAAGATGTCTGAATCAAATTGGTATTTTAAGAGGGCCCTGAAATGTTTCCCATCACAACAGAGTTCAGTGCAAGCAAGGAACACATCCACATCACATCTTCAAGTCAGTACAGGCCCACCCAACACCCTCAGACTACTTGCCAGTTCTGTGTTCTCACGCAGAAAGTGGCTCTCATAATCTGCACCTTCAAAATGTATTGTCCAAGTACCTGGTGAGCGCACATGAGGAATCAGCCTGCAAAACCCTAGGAGGACACAGGTGTGTTAGGACAGGGAAAAGCCCAGCTCTCAGAACAGGTGGCCCTGCCAGCAAGCCAGACACTACCCAAGCATGGCATCTCACAGGGCCGACTCCTCTCTGCTCCTTCATTCTCTACAAATCCGATTATCAGATACTTAATTATATACTGGTTTTGATCCAATAGGATTTCAGCAGCAAAGTGAAATTGGGTCTTTCTTTCCTCTGGATCCCCAAATGACTTTTTTATTACTTCGGAAAGAAATTAAGTACCAGGTCATAAATTCCTGTAGAACTGTTTACTGCAGACTAGGAGACCCTCGGTGGCATTCAGAATGTTAATAGACGAAAATGTATATCAGGTTGTTTATACTCAGCAGAGGAGAGGAAGAACGACAGGGCCAGAGAATGGCACAGATGTGGGCATCTGCCCATGCAGCAGACCTGGCTCACCTCTTCACTATTTTTTACTTTCTTAAAACATCAGTAAGCTGGTCTCCCTGCAGCAGCCCTGAGGGCATGGGTAGAAGCCATGAAGCAGCTGGGCCTTGCCAGTAACCTGAGCATCAGCTCTGTGCCCAGCTGTGCAGGAGGAACCTTTGGGAGCATGGCCCCCTTCAAGTACAGCGGAAGTGTAGAGCAACTGAAGAAATACAGAAGAGTCACTCTTGGGAAGGCTGCCAAGTGTGAGGGCCATAAACACACGCTGGTTTTAAAAGAGCTGATGAGCCAGGTGCAGTGGCCATGCCTGTAACCACAGCAACTGGGGAGGCGGAAGCAGGAGGATCACAAGTCCAAGGCCAGGCTCAGCAACTGAATGGGAACCTGACTCATAAAACAGAAAGGGGCAGGGCGCAATGGCCATGCCTATCATCCCAGTGGCTGGGAAGGACAAGGCAGGAAGATCAAAGGATAGCCTTGGCAATTGTGTGAGAACCTGTCTCGAAATAAAAAGGGGCTAGGGATGTGCTTCAGTGGTTAAGTGCCCCTCTGGGTTCAATCCTCAGTACCAAAGTAATTAGAAAAGTAAATAGAAAGGGCTGGGAATGTAGCTTCATGGTAGAGCACTGGGTGCAATCCCCAGAAGTGCAAAACATAAAAGAGCTGCTGGCAACAGGGCAGACTGAGCAGAAGGGGAGGCCTGGGCAGGAGGATGACAGAGACCACACATGATCAGCACAGGTGACTGTGGAGCATGGAAGAATAAAGCTGGCTGTGGGTTTTGACTTGTTGAGAGATGTGCACAGGACCCCTCCAAGCAGCCCTGTTGTAGTTGAATGCCTGCTGCCCCTGGTTCCCTACTCTGTGGCGAGGGCCATACTTCCACAGGCTTCCCATGTGCCTAGAGTTCTGGGCCAGGTCAGGTGCACTTCAGGGGGACTTGGCGGGCCTCTTGCTGCATTACAGCCAGTACTGGGTGGGCCACAGGTGTACCCTAAACCAGGACTAAGGGCTCTCCTGGCATACGCCTTCACATCCAGGCCACCCCACCTGGTCCTCTGCTCTTCTCCATGCACTCGGCATGTTGGAAGGGCCACACTACTCATACCATGTAAATAACACTCATGGGAAGAGGCAGTCTTTCTAACATGAACTTTTTAAAAACTACCAAAACATTGAGATACCTTTAAAGATAGAAAAACAAATTTATGTGGTAAGTGAGACATTCACTGAAGTTAAAAATCATATTCACTGAATTTATCCATCATGGGCCCATGGACATGACACTTAACTTCATCTTGCTGTTACTCCTTGTTTAAATAAATCCCTACATTTTTGCATCTATTTTTCTACTCATCAGAGCTTTTCTCTACTTTCCCCAAAAGTAGCACAATAGAATCAAAATTTAGTCTGATTCAGAAGCTCATACTTCACAGCAACAGTGAGCGATGGGAGGGATGTAGAGTTGGAGGAAGATCCTGACTTGCAGCTAGCTGCCTTTCCTCTTGCCAGAAGATGGCTATTCTTTCTATCAATAAACAAAAGCAAGACTATGTAGACAGGGTCATGTGACAATCTAGGAAGGCCTGAGGTGGACTCTTGACGGCTATTTCACAAGCCCCTCCATGCCCCACAGAGCAGTGTGTCTTGCACAGCATGCTGGAGGCTGGCCCTCACTGGCCTGGCAGGGCGGCCCTGCAGCAGTGCCAGGGTGCTCGGCACTGAGGCAGCCCTGGCCTCCTGGCAACTGACCCAGTCCTCAGAGACCTCTTAGTCCATTTTACAGGTGAGAACCTGAGGCAAAGGGCAAACTGCCCCAAGAGCACAGGTGGCAGGGTTGGGTGGAGCTGGCTGATTGGTGCTACTCTCCCCTGCTCTACTGGGCTGGCACCAACATCACTTCACCAGGTGGGCAGGACAGGTGCTTTCTGCAGGGCCACCACATACCCACAGTCATGCGAACGAACACATCTGACCTCACGTCACCATGAAACACTTCTTAAGTCCAGGCAGAGTCCTCAGGAGACAGTGAAAGAGAAGCTCGCTTCCTCCTGGGCCACAGCTCAGGATCCGCTGGGTAAGCAGCACTTACCTCTCTGGCACAGAGGGTCTAAAAACTCCTGTAAGCCATTTGGAATGTTTCTGACAACGTCACAAGAATAGCCATCTTCTGGCAAGAGGAAAGGCAACTGCAAGTCAGGATCCTCCTCCAACTGTACATCCCTCCCATCACTCCGGGCTAGCTCATCCGCTGTGTTCTCAGCCACAGCCACCACGTTGTCTATGAGATCCTGTCAGAAAAGAGCACTAGGTCACAGAACTGAAGTGTGTGACCAGCAACACTGAAGTGTGTGACCAGCAACACTCAGAAGCCAAGTGATCACAATGGCTCACCACCTCCCAGACACACACCTACATGGGCACGGGGCTCTGGAGACAGAGCAGGCTCTCTAGCTCATCCATGCTCACTAGCTGGCTTTGAGAAGCAACAACTCACAGGCCAGCTGCTCACATTTTAAATAGGGACCAAGATGCTCAGCTACTTATGGCTGCACATAGGAAGAAGCTGTTCAACACAAGAAAATGCTATTCCTCTTTTCCAAATAGTTATATCTGTGCACAGTTCTTAAATAGCTTTATGTTTCAGTCGTTAATCATCATATTCTTGTTGAATATTTAATGTGAAAATATTTAGGAGTGAAAAGACTGGATGTGGCAGTGCACACCTGTTATCCCAGTGACTGGGGAGGCTGAGGCAGGAGGACCACAAGTTTAAGACTAGCCTTAGCAACTTAGCAAGGCCTTCCCCCAAAATAAACAACAAAAGGACCAGGAATGTGGCTTCATGGTTAAGTGCCCCTGGAGTCAATCCCCAGAACAAAAAAAGAAAACACAGTAAAAAGCTTACATATTAAATATTAACAGCTGTGTCACAAGCCCTCCACGCCCAAAAGAGCAGAGTGTGGTGCTCTTCACTATTTTTCACTCTTAAACATTTTCACCACTTAAATATTAAAGGTTATATGTTAAATTAAAAAAATGAATAAGTTATCGACCCAGTAAATTTCCCACTTTGGAAATACATCAATAGAGGGAGTTTTTGAATTAGAGTCTCACTCGTGACTTCCATCTTAAACACATTACGGCATGTGATGCACAAAAGAAATGTCAGTCCTAATGCACAGTCCAACCAACGAAGACCCAGCCCAGCACCCTGCTACTCTCACTCCAGACACTAATACCAGTCCCCATCCTGCCTGCCTCCCTACAGGGGTGGGCCTCCAGCACATCCACACCAGAATGGTGATGTCCATCCCTCTCATGCAGATGGGAGGCATCATGAGTGTCCTCTGCACACACCCTCTCATGCCACTTACACTGGTGCACTCACGCAGGCTGTTGTGGAACCAGAGTCCACACTTCCTCACTGGAGCTGGCACTCCCTAACACGACAATGACATGCTCTACTGGCAGGTGGCACTGCTGTCTGTGTAGCTTCAAGTGTTGACTGTTTCCTGCCTCCTCCTGGCACAAAGCAACACTGAAGGGTGGCTCACATAGCCACCCACTCCATCCTCAGGGCTCAGGTGGTTCCCACGACGCTGTCTGAGCAGCTGCCTCTGAGTAAAGAGCCATCGGGGCAGACTCTGTGGTCTGGGCTCTTGGTCCCCATTCATTCCAGCAAGCAGCAGGCTTGCCTGGCTCAGCCTCTTCCAGATTAATAGTTTTTCTTCTGAAATACTTGTGCAGTTTCTGCTCCTAGCATTGAACTGTCTCAGATAACTATAAAATGGATTTTAAGTAAACTAATGTACTAAATAAATTGTGAAGTAGGTGTTCCTTTTTTCTCCTCATTCAAATTTTCCCTGCACAAACACACTCACACTTGGTCACAATGTAACACTCACTTACCGTGGGGATAAAAGGCTCATCAGGTGCACAGTGATAATTTTGTAGTAAGGCTTGAAGCTGCAGTGAATTTAACTTAAAGCAGGTGCTGTTTATATTTGGAATGTCATCAGGTGCATACTTATCCATGGTAAGCAAAGTAGTTGCCTAATTAAAAGAATAAATGAATATCACAAATTTTTTCAAATATATTCTCTGGGTCTAGGAATGTAGCTTAGCGGTAGAGCACAAGGCCCTGTTCAAATCCCCAGAAGCAGAAAAAATAATAATCTTTTATGTAATATTTATAAAGCCAATAACTTGCTGATATAATTTCAAAATTTAGGAAAAAACACACAAACACACTTATTGATATCAACTAATATATTAAACTAAGAATGTCATCCTTTTTTGGGAGGTGGGGGGTGCCAGGGACTGAACTAAGGGCCACTCAACCACTGAGCCACAACCCCAGCTCAATTTTTTATTTTATTTAGAGACAGGGTCTCACTAAGTTGCTTAGTGCCTCACCATTGCTAAGGCTATTATTGAACTCGCAATCCTCCTGCCTAGCCTTCTGGATCTAGATGCCTTCTGGATTTTACTATTATACATACATAATCAGATTCAATTATTAATGTTCATAACACATTTCAAAATTCCCTTGGAGCCAGGTGCAGTGGTGCACACCTGTAATCCCAGCAACTCAGAAGGCTGAGGAAGGAGGATTCCAAGTTCAATGCCAGCCTCAGCAACTTAGTGAGGCCCCAAACAACTTAGTGAGACCCTGTCTCAAAAAATAAAAGGACTGGGGAGTGGTTCGGTGTTTAAGCACCCCTGGGTTTATTTCCTGATACAAAAAAAAAAAAAAGATATATATCTATATMTATATCTATATCTATATCTATATCTATATCTATATCTATATATATCTATATATATATAGAGAGAGATATATATATATCTATATCTTGAGGCTACATATAACTCATTTCCTTATTTCCTTAAATACAAAACACAGTGCCTATTCTTTGATATAAACAATTTCCTCAGAGCGAGTCAAGGCAATAGGACATGATCTAGCTTGTGCATTTTAAAATTAGAATTTATCTTTCACTATGAAGCTTTCTGAAATACACTTCACTGGTCTCAATACTCTACCGGTTAACCACTTGTTACAGGTTGCACTGTGTCCCTCAAAATTCCAATGTTTAGAGGCCTAACCCCTAGCACCTCAAAACGTAGCCTATTTAGATGTGGTCTTTACAGAGGTAACAGGTGAAAATGAGGTTGGGGGGTCATGTGACTGGAATCCTTTTACAACTGCACACTTGGACAGGCATGCACACAAGGAAAAAGCTGTGTGAAGCCGAAGGCAGACCTGGGAGGATGTGTCTCGAAGGCAGGCTGTCTGGAAACTACCCGAGGCTGGGGAAATCTGGAACACATCCTCCCTTGTAGCCTCTGAAGGAGGCAACCCTGCCAACAGATTTCAACTGTGGCCTGAAGAACTGGAAGACCACAAACTTCCACTGAGCTACCCAGTTTGTGGTGCTTTGTCAGAGCAGGCAGGTGCTAGCACCTCACTGTTTCACTATTGGTACATGAGAAAACCCAACAAAAGGAAGGTTCTGAGTTCTACTGGATCCAAGTTCTTGTACATCATAATATCTGACACATTTGTCATAAAATGCATTACCCTGGGACAGGAACCACACACACCTGCACGATCCTGCTCAAGTGACAATCTGCAGCCAGTTCTAGCCCCTGCTTCTCTGCCCAGGCTTCGATATGTCCCAACTGCTGGCGGATAATTGCTCCCCAGTAGTGGGAGCACAGCCCTGAATCTGGGTCTGTCACCAATCTGTTGAACAGCCACATATTGATGAAGTGAAACAGCTGAGAGAAAAGCTGGATAGTCAGGGCAGCATTGACTCTGCAGCGCCGAAGCAAGGACATGGCTCCTGTGAGTGTGTGCAGCACATCATCTGTCCAAGATACAGAATGAAAATGAGCCAAACGTCCCCCAAGAACCTTCTGAACCACACCAAACCTGGATATGGCAGCTATGGAAGTAACTGTGTTTACTCACTTTAAAATACCAATCTCTTTCAAATAGGAAACAGTGGCATGGTCTTAAACTACATATTATTATTAACTAATCACTCTTTAGCCAACAGGTTCACTCAGAAAACTTAGAAAGTATGGCTAGTATGACATACCCAAAAAGGACATTCATAAACAAAACAGACGGTGGTTAGGAGTTATTATTTAAAGACTGCCAAATTCAATAAGACATCTCATTTACTCAAAAACACACACTTACATATTTTAAGCATGAAGGTAGAGCTAAATCGAAGGGAAAAAAAGGAAGGGATCACGGGAGAGCCTAACCTATTTTTGGTCTTTGCAGACTGTTCTCTTCAGGATCATCCAGAAAGGCGGGCATGTAGTTATTCAGTTCTGACTGAAGACAGTGGACCAGGTATCTGAAAGCATTAGACAAGCTCAATCATCTCAGCATGATGCTTCGGCACGGCCAGACATGCTACCACAGGGGAAACAACCTGTACTCTTTAGAAACATTTTCCATTCGCAAAACCAAGAGTGTCACTACTCTGAGGATTCCTGAAGCACAGCTCACTGAATCCAAGACTCTTAACCAACACCTCTGGCTTATGCTCCTTAGCACCATCTTCACTTAAGGTAAATAAAACATCAATACTTGCTTTGGAAACTGAACAAGAAAAGAGAGGATTCAATTCTTCATAGAATGGTGTCATCCTCAAAAATGTGCTCCTTACTTAAATGCCATCTGAACCAGGTGTGCTAGAACGTCCTGGGCATCGAGCGTGATCCGACTAAGGTCTCGGTCCTGCTTGATGAAGTTGAGCAGCTCAGATGCGTTGGCCATCCAGAAGGCAAGTGCCCCTGCGATGTTCTTCTGCTTCTGCGGGCAGAACATATTTCCATCAGCTATGTGGCACAAACCACAGTGACAGCAACAGACAGGAATGCTCCAAAAAGCTGCAAAGACAGACCAGTACCTTCCATTTTCACCCAGGAATTGACCACAGATACCAGATACTTGCAGAGGAATTTGGATGTGTACAATGGGAAGCAACAGCCACTGCAACTGCTTCCTAGGACCCATGTATACAGACCAGGGTCTAATTAGCTTCAATTTATGCAATCAGTGGAGAAATGCAGATATCAAGTAATAAAACACCAAATCGTAGATTGTGCATTATCTGGTAATCTGTGCAGTATACACAGATGTATCCACAGTTACCCACAGCCACCCTGATACTTGTAGTCACTGGCACGGACACCATGTGACTCAGTATCCAGTACTGATCTATCGCATCCTCTCCCGACCACATGTGCAGGCCAGGCAACCTCAGATGAGAGTCAAAGAATAGGAACCAAAGACAAATAATAAGGAGAAGAAACAGAACTCTGGTCATCTCATATCCACACTGAAGTGCATTAAGCAGAAATTATGAAATGCTGATAAAAGTTGCACAGTCAAAAGGGTTTTAGTACTGCGTGTTCAGTTGCTGGATGAGGGTTATGAACTTTCAGTCCAGGTGCTGTAGTGTCATACTGGACATGGAAGCAGCATGAGAAACTCAGCTAAGCCAACGCAGCTAGGAGCAGCTCCCAGCAGTGTTTCCTACCTGATCAACCTGGTCTACCTCCTGGCGAAAAACAGACGGGGAAATCAGCAGAACAAGAGAAAGAAACGTGTAAACAATCATGACAGTTTAAAAAAAAAAATCAAAACACTAACATGAAGGTACGACATGAAGGTACAACATTCAGTTATGTTATTCCCAATTACATTTCATTTATGATTCTGAAGCAGCTTTGGAAGTATATGACATAAAGGATTAGTTTCATGTTCTTAAAATTGGCACAGTAACTAAATGAATTTTATCGTTTATCTATAAAGATGATGTCACAATAAAACACACACAAACATACTGATCTCTTTAAAAGATAGTCAAAGGAAGGACTTCTAAACATCTTTCAATGACACTGAGTGTCCATTCCAGAAGTAACTAGTAGAAATGAGAGAGACAGCAAAGACTAGTACAAACATCAAAGCAAAAGCTGAGAATTTAAAACTGCTTGAAGAACTTACACTGTACCTATGCTAAGGGAAATAAATGGGATTTGGGAAGCAGAATTTAAATTATTCATTGCCATAGTCCACTAATTTGAAGCTTAAAAGCCCTGTCCTTCCAGCAGTGACTGCCCTGACTAGTGGACACTGGCAAGGACACATCTACTAAGGGCAGTCTGTGGCTGGCTTCACTCCGAGATGTGCTTTTCAAGTTCAAACATGAAGGGAGACAGCCAGTGCCTCAACTGAAAAGGAAACTCATGCTTGCCTATAAATGATGATACTAGAGTCACAAAAAGGTATCCAAATAAAATGTCCTTTGTTTTTATCTATTTCTTAGCTTAAGAGAATCATAACCCCACCAAATTTACATCATGCATGCGAAGGAAACATTTTCTTAAAATTTTTGTCTTTTAAAAACAATTCTGAGGGAATTAAAAGGTAATCTTAGTTTCCCCCAAATGGTCTTGCTAGGAGTAAAACAACCAAACCATCTACCCATATCATTTAACATCATATTACTAGAGTTTTATTCCTGAGTAAGAAACTTGAAACCTGTGAATCTACTGCTAAGGTCCTTAAAGATTGAATCTTCAAATAAATATCTGCTATCTCAATTTAATCAACCACAGATCGAGAGTAGTTAGAGGAACCAAGCCATTCCACCAACAGAATGCATCCTCCTGTCCTGAGACTTTCAAGATAGGTTCATGAAAGAATTTCATTCTCAGTGAGAAATCTGTTCTGATGCCCAGCACTCTTCTATGCATGTGGTCAGAAACAGACCACTCCCATAAAAGCACAGTGGACACACCCAGGGAGCAGTGCCGGCCTGCCCATGGCACACTAAGGCGGTGGCTACCAGGAGCAGCAGGCAGGAGCTGGTGATAGAGTGTTTTGGACGGGGGGTTACACCACACTGTGAATGCACTAAATGCTACTGACCTGTTCAGATCAAAAAAGGCAGCTGTTTTTTAACATGTAAATTACACTTTGATAATCATTTAAGGAAAATGCTACAAAAATGCACAACAGTCGCAACACTTGCTCACAACCACTGTGGCAATTGCGAGGTCTTTCCCATGATCAGTGTGTCATCACATACAGTTTCATCTTCATTTACTCTGAAGTACACAGGGAAGAAAGAGACAAAGGTCTACATTTCCTCTGAACATCTTAAGGTACACGTTTTCTACATTCTTACTATAACTTATTTAGAAAGAGCAGCCTTGGGACAGTCAAATATGCAGCAGGCCCGAAGTGCTAAAGGACCTGCCTTCCCTGGCCGAGTGCCAACTCCACAATTGGCAGGCCTCCTGCCACACTCACCTGAATGACCCCTTCCATCATGCTCACCATCTTGTTGACCACGGCGATGACCTTGTGCGTGCGCTCCGTGGGGCTGACATCGGGTCTGTGCTGGCTGGACAGTACGTGCCGACACGCCATGTACAGCACATAAGTGGGGGACAACTTAAAATGTACTGTAGAGCTATTCGTGTAATTGATAATGGCAGATAAAAAGGAGTCTTCAGCTGTAAAAAGATTGTAAGATAGAAAACAAGAACGTAAAAGTCATATGGGAAAAAAACAAACAAGAAATAATGCACTAACAGCAGAATCTGAAAATACTCACCACTTTCCCTGAATTCGATGCTGGCAGGCAGCATCAGTTCTGGCCCAGCAGCATCCTGAGTTCTAAGAAGGGAAGTTAAAATGTGGTCACACATCTACCAACACCACTGGCCACCTGCGTGGATCTCAACAACTACTTTAAGTCTCACATGACTTTCAAATGGGAAATAAAAAACAGCCCTTGCCTCATAGGTGATCCATTCAGACACTGAGGCAAACAGATGGGGAACGATCTTATCAGCACCCCCCACAGAATACCAGCTTCTCTGAGTACAGACTACCATGCCCGAGCAGCTCTAACACACGATCCTGTATTGCTAATAAGCACTCCTGTCTGGGACAGGGATCAGGTGTCCTGCACATGCTACACTATGGCTCAGGTGACAGTGAAAAGACTCCACAAGAGACACCCAGAGAAGCTGAGCCAGGGCGAGCTGGAACCCAAGTCCAACACTTCCTAGAAGTGGGACATCATTTGTCCTTCTCTATTAATGGGCACCAAGGCTGGGTGTGGCAGCGCATGCCTGTATTCCCAGTGGCTCAGGAGGCTAAGGCAGGAGGATCACGAGTTCAAAGCCAGCTTCAGCAAAAGCAAGGTGCTGAGCAACTCAGCGAGACCCTGTCTCTAAATAAAACACAAAATAGGGCTGGGGATGTGGCTTGGTGGTCGAGTGCCCCTGAGTTCAATCCTTGGTACCCTCCCCTGCCCCCCACAAAAAAACTACATTGATGGGTACAGAGAAGAAGACTTTTAGGGTTTTCCTAGCCACTCAGTACCAAAGCCTCAAATAGGCATCTACTTACTCCTGTCTTCTTAAGGTACTTTAGCATCAGCTGGCCTGACACTACATAAATATGGAACTAATTAAAAAAATAAAGAAAAACTAGAGTTTGGAGCATTTCTAAGAACCAGCATTGTGCTAATGTTTACCTATTTCCAGGTTTTCAGGATCAAGTTATTTCAAAAGATAAGGACATTTCTATTGCTGTTAAGAGTTCTTCCAACAGTGGGTCACCACCCAATGGTGATGCATCAGATGATCTTGGGTTGTGATAACAGTCAAAACACATCTGAAAGCCACTGCTAAGCACAGACTTTCTAAAACATGTATGGGAAATAATCACAACTCCAATTTAAATCTCCTGCTTTCCCCATTAGATAGTGCTTAACTTAAATATCCTTTCTCTTAGATTATGTAATTAGGACCGTGAAGTTAGTATTCTTTAGTTTGCTACTAGCTATACTTTATATGTAATATTTACCAAAAGCTAGACATACACACACACACACAGATGAGTGATTAGCTTCCGTAACATTTCAAAATCTTTATCATTTAGTGAATTTTTAACAGACAATAAGAACTTTCAAATATCCTGTCTTTGAGAAATCAAGAAAATTGACAGCAGAAGGTAAAGAACATGTGTCCTACCCTTTGTGCATACAAAAGAAAAATTGAGTTGTGTGGATTGGTGATTTATATTGCAAGGAAAATATCCATTGAGTTAAATACTGACTTCAATCAACCTGAAGTTAGCTCAAACTCAAATAAACCGTGTATCTGTGAGATGGAAAGCCAGCGCAGCTGTTGGTCATCTGAAACTGAGCTACTTAGCAGACCCTGGGTGACTGCCTGCCAGCAGCAACACTTCAGTGGGGACTGACAGCTGGTGGCGAGCTGCTGAAGCAAGCATTTAGAAACACAGGTGCGTTCACTGAATGAATAAACAGAGAGCAGAAAAAAAAAAGAAGCCTGGGCTGGGTTCTCAATCTCCTCCCTCTACCCTCACCCTCCCCCAGCACCAGGTAAGCAAGGAGAACAGGAATATCATGTGTGTTAGCATAAGTTATTACACTCCTAAGGGTAAATCCCCTTCTCATCAAATTGTGCTCTTTAAAGTTTATTTTCTAGATTATGATTTGATCATTTGGATTTAACTCAATAATTTAGAAAAACAAAGATGTTCTTATAAGCAGAATATAATTTAAATTCTCAATGACTTTACTATACCTCTCTCTTACACTGCTGAATTTACAGACACCCAAACTGCAAATAGACAGTTACTTAATGGATTTTGTCTTTAATATCCCACAAAACGAACCTGGATAAACCTTACCAATTATTTATTTCATAATTTTAACAAATCTGGTAAAAGTAAGGTTAAACTGTGATTAGAAAAACAAATTGTGACAAAAGGATTTTTTAAACTAAAATTAGTACTTAAGGAGCAACATTGTGTATAGGTAAAGGAATGAGAAACGTGTCATAGTTTTCAACTTACGGATGTTTGAGTGAGGACATGAATCCAGTTGGGGAGGGAAAGACTGCTCAGGATGTATAACATTAATAAATACGGGTGCTGTGTCAATATGGTATCAAAATACCCATATGATGGTTAATTGTATGTCAGAAATTTATTTTTTATAAGAACACATTTTAACTAAATATTTTGCATGGTAAAATCAGTTTGCAAAGACTCAAGGTTTTGTTTGAACTGTAAACATGTTGCTTTGTCGATATTAAGACAAGATGAAAGCAGATGAGCCTTTCTTTCCATTCCCACCCTATTCTCGCTGTCTTCACACCACATAGCTTTGGAACAAGTAACACTTATTTAATTGGTGCAGTCATGAAATCCGAGACACTTTAATAAACACATTTAAAATACTATATGTAATCACTCAGACGGAGGACACTGAAGTCTTGCAACGCACAGTGACCTCTGCTGGAAGATGGGAAACTGAACAACTGCTTCCCCACCAATTGCCTCCGCTACTGCAGGGCTGACAGGGAACAGTCAGCTGGCTTCCTCCAGGCTTGCAGAGCACCTGCAGCTCCCTGCTCTACAGGACAGGATCCCATCGACATTTCAGAACAGGTACTGGACAACACAAGCTCTGGTATTACTGTTTAACACGTAAACTGTTCTGGAAGTCACAAGGACACAGAATTTCAACTTATTAAGGTGAGACATTAAAAATCCTAAGAAAAAGAAACAGAAAGCAGAAGTTCTCTACCCTAAAGACCAGTTAAAAACAAAGCCATGGGGAAAAATCATTTATCCTCCACCTGTCTGCCACATCAGAAACAGGGGCCACACATGGCCCTCTGACATGCTTCAAGATTCTCTTCAAAGTCAGTTTGGCTTTGTATCTTTCTAAACATTAAAGATTTCTTCTAGAAATAGGTGAAATGACTGGTTTTCTCTAAATAAAAGAATTATCAATATTAAGGTCCTGTAAAAACTTCTTCCTCTACACATTGTCACAGAGCAGGCCATCTGGAAGAGCTACCTTATTACTCAAGGTGCAGCTTGCATCAACTCAGTAATGCTACAGCATATGAGGGACACAATTACTAATCAGGTAATTTTTTTTTAAATTCAATAACACAGAAAGGAAATACCTTAAAAATATAATTGAAAGCATTCTTAAAATGTCATTCTAAAATGCAGTTATACATAGTTTGGTATCTCTTGCCTCCAAACCCTCTAGGAATGCTTTCCCTCCTAGAGGCTTCATACAATAGTCCCTACCTGCTCTCCTGCCTGCGGTAGTCCTGCTGCTGATCCACGCGGATCATAGGCTTCACCATCCCTCGTTCAGCCGTGCTCGAGGTGGAGGACACCCTGTCGCTGTCCAGTCTGGTGGTGCTCTGTGCCAGGGGAAGCACAGTGTGTCAGTATGCGTGCAAACCAGGCTCTGCATCTTGCACTCAGCACTCTAGGCAGACATCGGATTCAGGACTGCCTTGCGGGAAAGGAGCGGGAAAGCCCAGTCAGCTCCTAGCAGCCAGTCCACAGCAGGATGCCCAAAGCACTTGGCACTGAGAATAACATGACATACACAGCCACTTCTGTTTTCAAGAGCTGGGAGTGGGCTAGCAAACAGAAGAGAACTGCGAGCTGTGTGTACAGCAAGAGCTGTGGGTCTTTTGTTTATTTATCAGTCTTACGATCAGATGTAGAAAGTCTGCTTACTTTACAGCTCAAAACCTAGAGAATTCAGCACAGAAGCTGATTTCTAATCACTACAAATCAAAAACACATGGTGGTACAATATAGACATAGTTAAGTACTTGTAAACAGTAGACTAACCATTTGCAAGGCACACAAAAAAGAAGAGAAAACCATCAAAACACATTCAAAAAAATTAATATGATAAATTATTTAGGGCAAAAATTCATCCAAGAAATCATCTACTATAGAAACTGAATGTAGGTAAGAAGTAAATGAAGACTGTCCTTATCTTACTACCCACAGATTAAAATTGAGTATGTATTTTTTTCAGTTTTTCATATTTTCCATAAATGGGATTATATAACCCATTTTGTGCAATACTCTTCATATACTGTAAATACCTTACATCACTATTTTATATTACAGAATTATAATGGCTCTACAATATTTGTTATCTATTCATCATAGTTCACAAAGTCATTAATGCTTTATGACATTGCTAGGGCTAATCACATAAAGAGTGCTGTGACAGCTATGCCATGGATACACATTTCTGTGCACAATAATCACTTCAGGAGACACACTTGGAGACTCCAATTCCCTGGCCAGTCACTGACAATACTGTTTGGATGACAAAAATCTGTTACAAATGCTAGTAACAAGGTGATGGGTAAATAAATCACAGCATATTTACATCCACATGAGTCTGTTTTACTTAACTTTTAAAAACACAAGAACATGCTCACAGAATGAAGGAAGCAGGACACAAAGGTATGGAAAAGAAACCTGCCCATTTGTGCTGAACTGTGTCGATGAACACGTGTACACAGCTCAGAAGCGGGCCAGCAGCACACACTGGATGAACAGTCTTCATTCTTTCTTCTCTCCACCTATCAAGGCTGTCTTGTCAACTACAGCTGCTTATGAGTAATGGCTCTGCTTGGCTCCAAGAGCACTTACTCAGTTCTGCATGAGATAAATGCTGTGAAGTGCCAGGCACTTTTCCAGGTAAGGGAAGCACAAAAATGGCCTGTGGAGCAAGAACCCGGTGTCCAGAGCTCTCAACCCCTTCTGATGGGAGAGACAATCTCATGCAGGAGCAGGCCAGTGGGACCGAGTAGCAGCAGAGCAGAAGCAGATTAAGAGGGAAGGTGAAGCCAGGCAGGGCTGTGATGGGGGCTTAAAGCAATGCACCAGCACCATTGCATGCACATTTTTAAAACAGGAGGATGGGAGACAGGTGGAACCCAGCACCCGTGATGCCAGAGCTGTTCCAGAGTCTTCTGAGGCAGATGTACACAACATGCCTGTCCTCATCAGAGGCTGAATGAAGGAAAAGAATCAAGGGCAACTTCCATCAGGTTTGTGTTAGGCAATGTCATATGGATGATGACATTACTTACTAAAGGTGGAGAAGGATCAGGAGAAGTAAGTTTGAAACAGATCTAGTCTTGCATTAGCTATGTTAAGTGTGAAGTTTGTTCAGACACCCACATGGAGATGCCAAGCAAGCCTCTGGAGACCAAAGTCTGAAAAGGTCAGACCCTAGGCACACATTAGGGGACAATGAATGTCAGATGGTGTAACCTTAGGTAACAGGGCAATTCAACAAGAGACGTGCATAAATAGAAGAGTAGGGGCCTAGGCTAGGCTGAGGGTTGGGCCCAACCCTCCCAACTTCAGAAGACAAGCCTTCAAGGAAAAAGGATCAACCAGCAATCAGCCTGAGTAGGGACTACCAGGCATCGAGGAAGGGTCAGAAAAGAATAGCCTGGAAACCATCAGTCAGCCTGAGCAGGGACTACCAGGCAGCAGGGAATGCTCAGGAGAGGACACCCTGGAAATCAAAAGCAAGCACTTTCAGGAGTGGACACAACTGCACACTGCCAGGAAGCATGATGCAGAAAGCCAGGCTGCACCTGGCAGTACAGAAGCCAGCAGGAGCACATTAGAGTGTGGGGTCAGCGGTGGAGACAGCCATTATATACAACTGTTCTCAAGAAACTGCAGTGTGAATTGAAACAGGAAAACGGGGTGGACAGCTGGTGGGGGACACAGCAAAGGTCCCTAAAACCAGGAGATCCTGTGACATGCTCTGATGTGGGAGAGTACTCCCAGGCCCTTGCTGCTTCATGGCCACCAATGAGCAACACCCTCTGTGGTGCTCCTCCCCTAGAACCAGGATGAGCCTGTGGTCTGCTTCAACCAGTACAAGGCAGAGGCATGACACTGCGCCACCCTGGGCCTACCCCTTAGAAAGGTCTGGAAGTACCAAGTTCTGTGAGCCACCCTGCCACTACAAGACCAGCAAACCAACTGCCCCAGTAGTTCCAACAAGACCGTACAATTGCAAGCAAAGAAAACGCCTACTGTGGCAGCCACTGAGCTTTGGTGTAGCTTGTGATCAAATGAGGAAAGGGACACACTGCACAAGAACTAAGGATAACTGTGGAAGGGCCACGTCTGAGAGGTCAAGCAATAGGAGTAACAAGAGCAGGGCACCACCTGCAGGCCCGTAGGCACCTGACAGGACACACAGGAGGAGTCTTGGGAAGTGTGCAACACGTGGGAAAAAAAGCACAACATCCCTGAGTGGGAAAAAACAGCAGTCCTCTGACTTCTTCCATGCATCACTCCGAACTCACAGCAGAGCAGGAAGACCCATGGGTAGGACCGCTGTGGTCTGTCTTTACAGGGGAGTGCTGTGGATGCATGGCCAGCGTGTGGCCAGTGTCTGCCCATGGTGTCCTCTCAGGTCACAGGCATGCCACCACCTACCCTGCTTGTCGGCAATGCTGTCCCACTGTGGACATCTCCTCCCAAGTCAAAGGTTGTTTCCTGAACAGTCCTGGCCAAATGAAAAGAAACGTGGAATTAATTTTCAAATGACAGGGCAAAGTTTCTCAATGATTCAGCAAGAGCAGTTAGTTAAATATCTCACGGTTCTAAACGTCATCAAGAAAATTCTTTATTTTGAGCACGTGGATATAAAATTTTTTTAAAAATTACAGTAAATTTATGAACTTTTCTTCCTGGCATATACTGAACACTCAGGATTGTATTAAAATCTATACTTTAACAACAAGGAATTAATTGACATAAACAAAGAGGATATTTCATCATATTTGGGCTGCAAATGACGTATAAATGAAGTAAGTGCACAGACTGAGGTGCCCAGGACCCTCTGAGGATGCAGCTACAGGAAAGGTGAGCTGCGGCTAAGATTGAGAGCCACCCTCCTGCTGAGAGACGGCTGGTGGGAGTTGTGAAGCACATGGATATCACCACTTAAGCTATACGATAGACCTTGGAAACTTTCAGTAATGCTATCTCAAAATACCAAAACTTCTAAACGCATCATTAAAAAGTAACTCAGAATAAAACAAATATCATTTTTCAGAGCAAAAAAGGCTGAGGAAAGCTGTTTTCTTTGGCACAAAGAAAGGGTGAATCGATCCATTGGTTCCAACCTAAGGAGAAAAAGATCCTAAAATCACCTAGAATCAATGGCTAATGTCCTGTACTGCTTGCTATACAGAATCAAAAAGAATGAAATCACTTTTGTTCTAATATTTGAAAAATATATGGTCTATAATTTCAAAGCACCATGCTACTTGGAATTTTTATTTAAGCTCAATTTATAGAATTAAATAAGTATTGTGGTAGCATATACAATTTTACAAATTAGAAAAGCAGGTATAAATTCCTCTACCTCATCACTAAGAAAATGAAACTATATTGTAATGTAAAATAATACAATGCTTTAAATAATAGCTTTTGAAAGAAATTAAAGCTTTTACTGCAGGCTAAACACTTATCAGCTTTCTATAAACATCACCAAGTTTTTCTTAGTCATCATCTGTCACCAAGATATTCACAAAAACATGGAAGTGCTTTGCTGGCCTCAGGGGATTTGAATGAGACTCGGTTGCACTATTGCTACTGATGTCTGATGGGGACAGAGAGACACACAGCTTGCCCTCTGTGCTGCCCATCATACACACGTCACCCTCCTGTGCTCTCTTAAGGACAGAACATGAGTATGACCACACCTTCTTGCTCTTCATAATTAATGTCCAGTAACCAATTCACAGCACCACACAAAGCTTTCTAATCCTTCCTCCAAAGCTTCCTCTTTCAAGGTTGGCATGGGCCATCCATGCTGTTTTGGCATCTGAAAGTCCAGAGTGACTTACTGCAAGGCCATGACAGGTCCCATCTCCCTGTCCTCAGCACTGAAAACACAGGAGCACAGCCCCTGGGCTTCCAACAGACACACACAAGATGCACACATGAGGCATCAGTGCATCATTCCAAGACCTTCTCATCCCAGACTGACCCTCAGTACCAAAATTTGCCACCTGCCGGTAGACACCCACAATGACCTGAAGATGGGCTCTGACATTTGTATCCAAGAGCTTGGCTATTACCTCAGAAATGAATGTGGCAGCTGGACAGCAGAACAAAGTGAATGTTTAAAAAAATAGAGCTCTTTTAATTCATGAGCCACAACAGTTTTCATGAGCATTGCCAGAAAAATTGTAATAATAAAAAAATTTCACATCACATTCTTCTTATTGAAACCTAAGCCACATTCTTATATTCTGGCCAGAGACATAGTGAGAAGAAACAACTGCAGGCTTTCAAAGCAGGAGTCAGAGGGCAAACACTCAAAAGGAGCTTGACCGACTCAAAAACAGAAAAACTACAATAGCAAAACCGAAGGGCCCACCAACATGGGACAGGGGTCCCTCCCTCAATCACAATTACCTGCAGCAGCAGACACCGGCGAAGTAGAAAAGAACACGGAAGCAAATCACAGTGCAGAAGCAAAGGGCAACTGCACACAAGAGCAGTAACCGTGGACAGGGGCTACCACTCCAGAAAAGCACAGCTTGGGCTGAGGTTGTGGCTCAGTGGCAGAGAGCTTGCCTAGTATGTGTGAGGCACTGAGTTAGATTCTCAGCTCTGCATATAAATAAAGACAATAAAAGGTCCATTGACAACTAAAAAATTATTAAAAAAAAAAAAAAAAAAAAAAAAGCACAGCTTGTGTGTGGTCTTTGGTGGAGCTCAGCAGTCAGGAGTGAGGAGGAGGACAGTCTGCACACAGGCACACTTCACCCCATCCAGGGAGACCCAGGCTAAGAAAGAGTACAAGTGAGACTCAGGACAGGAGCAGGAATTGGGGAGGTGGCTGGTGAGGGGAAATCTGAACACTGGTGGTCCTGGACATAGTGGAAGGATGAATGCAGACATATTCAGTTTCAAGATGAAGGAAGGTGGTGGAAAGGAATGGGTTTTCCTAGGAAGGTACTTGCTAGTTTTCTTTGGAAACCTAGAGGTTTGGCCTTTTGCTGAAACCTCAGCTCAAGTGGAGCTAGGAACAGATCTGACTAAACAAACGTATGTGATGAGCCATTTAGTGTTTGTTTTGGAGAAAGATCAATGTCTAACTAATAATACCTGGCCCAAAGTGTAAGCTCCGGGTAGATAACCAGAGATGTCATGGGAAAACTAACGGGAGCAACAGAGCCCGTCAGAAGTCTGGTTTACGTCTGTGCTGGATGGAAAGCTCACACTTCAGTGGACTTTTCAAGATGCTTTAAATAGCACAGATGAAGAGCTACTGCAGCTGTTTTTCCAAGATCAATACCTATTAATCTGCAATACAGATAATAAAGAAGCTCGACGAGTATGCTTCAACATTACCATTATCAAAAGGCAATAATGCCTTCCAGGGTTTCAGCAACAGGCCACCCCGAAGGTCCTCAGAGCACCTCCAGGTGGAGCTCATGTGCTCTGAATTCCTTGAGAGACCTGGGTGTGCTCTGTTACCAGCTGTAGAAAAAAACGCTTCCCTAGAAAATTTCAAAATCCCAATCACACAAGACGATTACATAGAATATTGTGATCTTCTACAAAGGAACAAGTATTGTTCTGGTGTACTGGCTTAAAAAGAGATTAAACATAAACAATTCAAAATCCATTAGAAATTCCAGTATCAAGATGAAGTCATGCTCTTTTCCCCTCTAAAACAAACCCAAATTAATAAGAATAGGAACCAAAATTACAAATCCTGCTTTAACTTTTTTCAAAACTAAAATAATAAAAAAAATAAAAAGTCAAGCCATTTACACCTCAGCCGATGACTCCTAGTCAGAACACACTGTTCCCATGGCTCACCCAGGCTTATGTCTTGGGCCCTTCCCCATCAGGCCTCCATCCACAGATCTCTTGGCAAGAGCATGGTCCTGGCTGGGGTCCACAAACTTAAACACATGCGACACCCCAAACTGCACTTTCATGCCACTCTGCAGCATGGTGGTCTCCGAGATGCGCTGGCCATCCACGTAAGTCTCCGCATCCATACTTCTAGGTGTCACGGTGACCACACCATCCATGTTGGTGAGGTCACAGTGATGAGGCTGGATTCCTGGGCCAAAGAGCTGGAAGCACAAGGGAACCAGAGGCTTGTTCAAGCACACACAGATTTAAAGACAAACTGAAACTGAGTTCCCCTTCTATGATCAATATCACCCAATGAGCTCTGGATTCTTGGTGCTTTCTTAAGTGCATTTTCCCCAACACCAACAGTATAAAATCATGCAACACTGCCAAAACACTAAGGCATTTTTAGCATCTAGTAGCGTGATTTAAGGAATATTTTAACTCTGCATTAAGAAGCACACAACTGAGCCTGGGGATGTAACTCAGTGGCAGCACCTGCCTAACACACACAAAGACTGGGTTCCCTCCCAGCCCTGGGGAACAAAAAAGACAGCGGTAGCAGCATCACATGGTTTCTTAAACATTTACTAGGTAATTTATGGACAAATATATAGAGATAGTTTTGATTAAAACTCCCCGATTTTGTGTCTCACTGCTGTGCTAAGAATGAAGGAATGTAAAACTAAAAACCCTACCTTTTCACAACTGAAAATCAAGAAGATCGAGAGTGATTTGCTGGAGTTCAAACAAGTGATAAATCCTGTGCTAGGTTCTGTTTCAAGCTCCCAAGAATCACCTCCACTCCCTGATCACTGAAGGCCAGGACTGAGCATCAGACCCACTGGCAGGAGCTTCCACAGTTATCTCTTTCACCATCTTGTGGAGAAAGTCCACAGCCCTTGAGGAAGGCCGCAGGCCCACATCTCACTCACTGACTCAGAGTGGACAAAAGGTCTACAGTTTTCCTTCACCCACGAGTGAGCTCTGTGGCAGGCTCTCCCCTGTGCTTGTTGCTAAGGACATGTGGGAGCCACCGCAGAGTGTGGGGCCCAGAGTTGCGGCACCACCACTGCATACCTGGATGGAGTTGTCGTCCAACCTTTCTGTCCCAACTTCAGTCACACTCAGCTGAAGGCGGTAAAGCTTTGGCTTGTCTCTGGAGTCAGAGCCATCTGTGAAGAGAGAGGGAGAGAGCTCTGCGTGCCAAGTCTAATGTTCTTGCTATTTGAAACAAAGGACTCCCTTGGAAAAGACATTACATCTCAGCCTTCTCAGAATTTTTAAGACCTCTCCAACTTGCATCAGAGAGTTCAACAAACCAAGTGCAGAAACTTCCAAGAGAGAAGCGCACTAGCTTCTGTTTACTGTGAAGTGGGAAGACTGCCACTCACCCCACCCTCTCATCTCATAAGAGGAAATATTCCCCACCACACTGCCAGGGGCTTCGCTAGGATTCCGAGGTAAGGGAATCAGCAACAGTAAGATCATTAAAGACACGTGGGCCTTTCCTTCAGCCCAGGACCTTCACAGGGCAAACCGGCCACCTTCACGGCACACCCGGACCTCCTAGCGCACAGTCCCAGGGTGAGTTGTAGGTGTAGACTCCCAACAAGTGACTCTGACGACCATCCCTGAAGAAGACAAGCTGGTGAAGAGCTCAGTTCCTTAAGCAGAGCTGGAGTGAACAGCAGGAAGGAAGACTGGGTCTGTCTGGGTTCTGTCACTTTACCATCTCTGGACTGTCAGCACTCGTAACTTCCATGAGCGTGACTCTTCACGACAGGGGAGGGGAGGAGGTGGAGGAGGAGAGCAGGCAGTACTGTCAGGCCTCTGTCCTGTTTACGTGAGGCATATCCACTCACTCCTCAGCCACTATACCCCTGCTGGTGCAAGAGGGTATCCCCTGAAGACTTCTCTGGTTTCAGAGTTCACATGTGAGAATGCACACCTCACAGAATCCAAGAATTAGACACCATCTCAGACCCCAATGTACATACCACAACCATACTTTTCAATCCCGTGGCAAAAACAACAAGCAGTTTCCTCAAGAGGCGCTTGTGAGTCTGCCTGACCTGTTTCAGGACTCTCTGAAGAACTCCTACAATCTCATTCCCGTGATCAGGAATGTGAGCTTCAGGGCTTCAGAAGTCGGAGGTCCTTGCAGCGTGAGCGTGTGGAGTTCTGGCCAGCTGAACTCTGCTGAAGTGAATCTGAACTCTCACAGACAGGGCACCATGAATACACTAGACTCTACAAAATAGCATTCTAATGACAACTGCTTTCTATTTCTGAAATGTTTTAGAAAGCTATGACTTGTGGGTAAGCACAGAACAGCATGTGACTTTACAACACTAACCCATCTGGACATTGACCTGTCCTGATCCAGGCAAGGCATAAAGACCTCTGGGGGCTTTTCCTGGACCTGGGCACTTCCCTTCACCACCTGGAATTTTGTTCATTTTAAATGCCCTGGGCAGTTCTAAGACACACGCCTCTTCTGTGTCCAGAGCACCACACCTCTTCCTCTTAACCATGCACCATGTTTTATGAAGACTCCTACCAACCCGTCTCCCTGCTCGTCGGGCTCCTTAGTGGCCAGGCTGTACCTGGCCCTTGGCACTCAGTGAGTGTCCACACAGGCAGTTGTCCATTGGCAGTGCATGAACAGCAACTAATACTAGGTCATGCAGTCAACACAGGTGCACAGACACTATGCCAACAGAGCAGAAAGGAAGCACAGGGGACAAACATGCAAGCAGGTGAAACAAGAACAATTATTTCAATATAAAGTTAAAAATGTTAAGAACATGCCGGGCATGGTGGCACATGACTGTAATCAGGTGCTTGGGAAGCTGAGACAGGAAAATCACAAGTTCAAAGCCAGCCTCAGCAACTGTGAGGCACTAAGCAACTCAGTGAGACCCTGTTTCTAAATAAAATACAAAATAGGGCTGGGGATATGACTCAGTGGTCGAGTGCTCCTGTGTTTAATTCCCGGTATCAAAAAAAATATGTAAGAACATAAAAGATACATCTGTTAGGGGGAGACAAGAGAAATGCACACCAATATTCCTTTGAAATGTCAACCTCCGAAAGCTTCCAAAAGCTGGCCCTGAGCTGCTGTGTGCCTTTCTACATCCATGGATTTGGAAAGAGAAAGGAGGGAGAACACAAGCTGCTTCTCCAGGCTCTGCTTTCTCCCCACATTGCTACAGAAGAAATCAGAGAGGATACCTGTGCAGACCCAGAACACCCTGGTAGGGCCCAAGGCCAGTGGGCAAGTGGTGTTTGGTCCAAGGTAGGGGAGCAGGAGGAGTGAGCAGGGCGGCAGGGTCTGGGTGCCTCCTGCCCCTTCTGTGACACCTTAGGTCCTGCTCCTGACCAACAGCAGCTGATCATCTCCAAGCCAGACAGTAAGACTGCTCCCTCAACAAACACCCCAACATCCTCCCCTTCCTCTACAGACAGCCAACTTCAGCCCCAAGAACTGGAACATCTTTCTCCCAGTAGACAGCTACAGTCAACCTGGAACACCCTGGCACGCAGGTGACTCAGCAGAGTGGTCCTCCTCCCAGAAACGTGCCTCTGATACAGTGTCCCTTGTCCAAAACCATCAGGACCAGAAGTTTCAGATTTTGTATTGCTTAGGTTTGGGGGCATTTGCATGTACATGACATTCTGGAGATAGAGCCCCAGTTGAAGTATTGGCTTCCCTTGTGCCTCATATACATATGCTATGTTCCAACCTTGACCCATTACATGAGGCAGGTGTAAATTTCCATCTGCATGTGGGATTTTCAGGTGTGGAAGGCTCCACCTTAATGTGAGGGGGCAATGGACTGGCATGAACAAAGCCTACAGACACCCTAAAGGCACTTCTGTTCTCTGTCTACAGCAATGCTGCAGCCAGCTGGGCCCAGCCACAATTGCTCCCCAGGGTGAACCTGGAAAAGCAAGAGCAGCAAAATAGGCTTCTAGTCAACCAAGTGGGTTCTGACACAGGTGCTGCACAGGCGTGAACAATAGGACAGTACATTACATTTCTTGGACATGCAATAGCAGGTCATCAGTGTTATTTTGCCATGAGGTTGTTAGTGCACAGTTACAAAAGTAGTATGAAGCATAGCATTACCTTCGTAAGTGTGACAGCTGTAGTAGGCAAAGTGACTCCTTCTCCCTGGGGCTGAGACACAACCAGGACCCAGGTGAAGGCAGCATCAGCAGGACAGAAACCATGCAGAGCAGCAGAAGAGGGAAGGAGGAGAAGAGACGCAGAGGTGAACTTCAGTGAGACTCGGCTCAAAGGAAGAAAAGGTACACTTTACCCTCAGCTTTCAGAGCTGTGCAGACAAGACTACAGTAGTGCCCCAGTCAGTGTTCTAGAATCAGTGAGACTGTTAGGAAAAACAGGACAGCAGGTGAGTCACCACGTGGCAGGACAGCAACAGCGAGTGAGCTACAGAGGTCGCCACCCCGCCTGGCCGACAGCCCTGCTTAAAGAGCACATTCAGATCCACACAAAGAAAGCTGCGCCCTGCCCATCCCTCCCACAGCTGGGGCAAGCTCACACCACATATCAAAACCTCCCTCTGCATCCAGCAGGACCTCACCGAGGTTGTGTGCTTGGTTGCCCGTGTGCCCAGTCAAGATGCAGTACTTTTCCATTTATAACAAATTAATATGTGCAAATATTCTTTTCTTATGAATGGAAAAAAGATCAATTTCATTCAGCATGCAGACTGAGCAATCTGAGAACCTAGGAACACCTCATAACCTAGTGAAAGAACACAGCCTTTGGTGCAGGAAAGACCTGGCCTAGCAATCAGGCCTTCCACCAACCCTGTGGCCCTTAGGACAGCACAAAGAGCTCCAGTCCTCGGGCACCTGTAAAGAAAGAGGAAAGTTCTCCCTGGCAGCCACAGAAGGTGGAGGCCGCGCAGGCTGGAGATGGTCATTATTACAGAGCTGTGGCTATTTCCTGGCATGGGGACTCCCTGACAGGATGGTCTTAGTCACTGCTGCACTCGCAGCTCTGCCCACAGCAGGAAAGCAGCAGAGTGCCAAGACCTGCCAATCAGCATCTGGCAGAAGTAGCACAGAAATGCCATGCATCTAGGGCCCATCATCTTCCCACCCCTAAAAAAAATCTATACATTTGATTATGTGAGAAACTGAAAGTATAAAATAAGCAGCTCAAATGGGAATTCCTACTAGAATGTGAGGTTGGGTTTGATCTGCTTGGTCAGGGCTCCACCTGTATAGCCCAGAAGGTGCCCAGTGTTTAATAAGTAAGTGTCTAATAAACAAGAGAGACAAACACAGCCTGGCTCTGCTAGCCACCAGAATCAGCTTCCCACTCTTCACTTGAAAATCTCTGTTGGCTGCTTTTTATCAACTTCTCTAAGGTCTAAACATTCAAAAAAATGGTTTTAAAGAAAATAATCATAGTTTCCAGCATTTAATGAAAAAATTTTAAAGAACAGATGGTAATTTCAAAAACAAACAGCTGTCTCTCTGTCACCATGTCCTCCCTCAGGTACACAAGAACCAGCGCTTTCCTGCACATTAGAGCAGTGATCCCAGGACAGCGGTCCACACGACAGTGCTGAGGCAAAGCAGCACTGCTGCACTCCCTGGGCATCCTCGAGCATGAGGGAGTGGGGGCTGCCACCTGCAGCCCCACTGCCACCAACCAGGGTGGCATCAGCACCCTGGATAACTCCTAAGGCTGCTGGGCCACAAACACCATGTCTCTGCCGATTATAGGGAACAGCCCAAGGAACTAAACAACCTTGGAAATAAAACTAAATGGTGGAAAATCAAAGAAGAGAAAGTACAATTTCTGCCTACAGACCCACATGTTTTCTACACAACAGATGCATTTTTAGGCCACTTTTTTCCTATAATTACTAATTGGGCTGTATTTAAATGAGGTTTCTTTGGGGTGGGGAGGATGGAATAATATCTTCATAATAATACAGGTCACACAATCCTGTTTTAAATAATAAATTCCATAATTTTGGCTGAATGATAAACAAAATGCCTCCTATAGAATGCCTATGCAATATCCACCACACAGGAATGTGTCTGTGTGGAACTGCTTTAGGAACGTGGGTGCACTGCTCTATCCAAGGGACGACCACGCCATAGCTTTAGCTCAAGCACATGCTCCACGCAGGGTAAGAAAATAAACTTAAGTCTGCTACTTAAAAATCCAGATGAGCTTCTTAAATGCCCTGTTACATTTAAAGATATTCCTTTTCAACACTGTGCGCACATTATGAAGAACACACACATATACTAAATATGCCCTAGGAGGAGTAAATTTCAATTTGCTGCTTTTAGCAGATTAAGTATTTAACTAAAGTTATTTTGGGAAAAAAATTTCTTAAAAGAAAATAGACTGCTTCAAATTATCTTAAAATGCTGTACACATTATTTTAAATTTTATTTAATACTCCTTTTTGTCCAAATGAACTTTATTTTTATATATTTATGATATTAACTTTGCTTGTTATTTTAAATAAAAGTCATTTTAAGAAGATTCCTTTTTTAAAAAGTAAGTAGTCTGGAAATGTTAAGTCAGCCAACAGCAAAGACACATTAATATGATACATTAAAAAGCAGAAACAGTCAAAGCTAAAAATGCCCATTTTTAACACTCTCTGGCATGACCAGCTTCCTCACCTGGGCTTAACTCCACTAAGTAGGGCAGCTTCTCAGGGGGGAGAGCAGATCCGTAGCCTGAGCTGTCTGCTCTCTCCTTCCCCTTCAGTGGCTTCCCTTCCACAAGCTTCTTCGATTTCTTTGGGATGTAGTCTGATGGCCTCCTCTTCAACTGAAAGACTAAAATCCCTGGAACAGGAAAATTGGGAACCATCAGCCAGACAGTCTGGTGTGTAGGTGCTGATGAGCAGTCAAATGCCCAGACATTTATCAAGATGGTCCATCTTAGTAACCTCTACTGAGGAACAAGTAGGCGAAGGCTCGTCCAAGTTACAGGTTTACTCAGTGAAGGAAGCACTAGCCTCTGGTGAGCTGCAATGGCTCCAGCAAACACTGCAAGGATCTTTCAATTAACAATGGGCTTCCAAGGGCATCTTCTGCTGCAAAATGCACATCAGTGTGAGAGGATCCGAGTCTTACACTGGTGGATAGCCCATGGTCAGTGACTATCCCCCCCCCACACACACACACACAACCTATTTTAGTTGAGCTGATTTTGATTTAATTCAAATGAATAAATCAGAATTCAAAGCAATTTTTCTTTAATGAAGTTTACCTTTGTACCATCCAGAAAAGTGCTAAGTGTGTGTTTTAATGAAGTTAGAAATCTACTTGCTGAGGTGTTTGCTTGTAGGTATTTTTAAAGTTGTCAACCTATGTTTAATACTGATACGATCTAACTGGCAATGAATTTTTATGTCTTTATTGGTGCAAAAGCCCCCACTACTTAAAATTAAAGCCCAATTAACTTATGATGCAACTCTGAAAGTTAAAAACCCATGTTTAATAAAATAAAACCCACAGCTTTAAGCCATCACTGTTTTGAAATAATTAGGGGAAATTATTTGAACAATGCCAAGGATGAATTCATTACAAGTTGAGCATCCCTGATCTAAAAATCTAAAATCCAAAATGCTACAAGTTCCCAAACCTTCTGAGTGCCAGCGTTTAACTGGTGGAAGGCAAAATGCAGGTGCACTGAAACAGTGCCCAATGGCACCTGCAGCTGTGTGTGAGGTGCACACCACATGAATTTCATGTTTATAGCTGGATCTCATGTCTAAGATATCTCATTATAAAAATGCAAATGTTCTAAACCTTAAAAAAAAATTTCAAAATCCAAAAACTCTGACCCTAAGCATTTCAGATAAGGAATACTCAGCCTGTTATCTGAAATGACCACAATACTGGGCAATATGTAGGGTTGTAGGTTACTTTCACTAGCATAACAAATCTGTCCAAATGCCATAATTCATCAGATCAGTTTAGAAAGTGTTTCACTGCTAACAGGTAACAAAGACCTTGAGCACTACTAATAGTCTGGTGTCTTCCTGAGACATGGTTTTCACCTGTAGTATCACTGTGCAAGATCTGTGCAGGAGACTCAGAGGAGTTGAGCCTGGTCCCACAGACCATGGCACCATGGAGGAGCTACCCAACAAGCCCACAGAGGAGGAGGAACACCATGCAACAAAGAGCCATCAGAAACCATTCATGCAGACATCTGCATCATCTGGTGAACAACAGGTGGGCCATGCGTAATCTGAGGTATCACAGAGGTAATCTCTAATAGTGAAGTCTACCTTTGTCACTTGGCCATTCCCTGAAGATCTGTAAAGGACACTCTTCATCATCAAGGATAATTTCTTTAGCACCTCTTTCATCAGAATGCTGGGCTCCAGGGGGAAGCATAACCTAAAGAAAAATAATTAACAGTGAATATGCCTATAAGGTAAATTAGCAGGCATTTTTAATGTTACTGAATGAATATAATGTCACTGTGATATGGGTGAGGTGTTGTACACCTGTGATCTCAGTTGAGATAAGGCTGAGGCAAGAGGATTAAGTTCAAGGCCAGCCTGGGCTACTTAGTAAGACCCTGTCTCAAAATAAAATAAAAATGGCCAGAGATATAGCTCATGGCAAGCATGAGGCCCTTGCTTCATTCCCCAATACCAAAAAGAAAAGTTTCTGTAGAATGAAATTGATCATGCATAATAAACAATTTTCACTAATCATAAAAATCAAATCATCCACAAATATGAAAGAAATAGTTTTAAATAAATAGTTCAGTCAACTGATTGAGCAGTTTTTATTCACTTGGCCTCTAAAATGGACTAATCTTGAGTATTTTTATTCGTTACAAACTTGTATATGGAAAGATCATACGTGAGAGCTAATCCCTAAGTAACTTCCTGAGGCAAGACCACTTCCTCATGGCAGTCTTCAACTTCTCCAGTCCCTGGCCCATCTTTTCACTCCAACAACTCTCTCTAAAGCAGTTTCAGACAACATGTCACTCAAAACCAGGTCAGTTTCCTGTACTTGTAGCTATGTCTTGATGATCAGAGTCTAATCAGATTATGTGATACATGCATGACCATTTGTTCTACACACATGTAAGCAACTGTTTTGTGATAGTATGCTTACTTGTACTCTCAACAGATAATGCTGCTGCTTCTTACTATGTGTTCTGACTAGCCAAACACGTTTTCCTAATCACCCAAGAAAGCCTGAGATGGAGAAGACAGTGGCAACTGCCACTCATCTTGTGGCCCTGCACATACTGCAGAGTCTATGCATCCTTGTCACTCCATTCAGGGACATCAGGAACCACAAAGAGAAGGAAAGCCAGAGAATCCAAGCCCATTTCTACAATTACCGTGAAAGTGCACCCTAATAGGCCTCACCACCAGACATGTCACCTTACTCACAGACCCAGTGGGTCGCACTCCTGTAGAACCTTGTCATGACTCTCCACAGGGCTTCAGGTTGCCCTGAAGAAGTAAAGCTGTTACAGTACTGCACTCCAGCTTTTTAATCCAACTTCCTGGCCTAGCGCACACACTGCCTTGGGACTTTATTTCCACTCAACTCCATTGCCTCAATCTCTTTCACACAACTTCTGAGCCAAGCCACACTGAGGTATGTGCACTTCACAACCAGGTCATGTTCCTCAGGCTTCCAGCACCCCTCTGGCCACCTTTCACATCTGGCCAACATCCACTCATCCTGCAGCTGGGGCTCAGCAATTTTTTTTTTTAAGTTGCAGATTGACACAATACCTTTATTTATTTATTTTTATGTGGTATTGAGAGGTTGGAACCCAGTGCCTCACAAGTGCTAGGAAAGTGCTCTACCACTGAGCCACAACCCCAGCCCCGGGGGCTTATTAGCATTTTGAAGAGCTTTTGCCAACCTCACTTCAACTGAGAAGCCCTGTTGTTTCCTGGCCTTTCTATCCCCCTTAACTATAAGCTCTTCCACAGGAAGCCTGAGCACCTGCCTTCACAAAAGCCTTCTCTGAAGAGTGAGCTGAGAAGTGGAAGCAGGCCAGGTGTCCATCCACAGGGACATGGCTCATGACTGGTGTGACTACACACTGACACTACTCAAAGCACACAACAAACTGGACAAGACCAAAGCCTCCATGTAAGTCCGAAGCCAAGCAACAGGGTCCTGACTGTATGCCGCTGGTCACGGGGCAATTCTAGAAAATGCACAGCCCATGGCAACAGACAAGGTGAGCACGAGGGAGGGACAGGTCCCAAAGAGGCAAGAGGAGCCCTCTGAGATGAAGGGCAGTCAGTGGAACCCTCATAAGCTCAGAGCTCAGACTGCAAACGTGGGGTTTGCTGAACTTCATTCCTTAATAATTTACTAAATTTTCATTATTCAACAATTGCTTGCTGAGATAGGAAAAAGGGGGCAGCTATGTTTTAAAATCTACTCAGCTTCGATTCTGACAGAAAGATCATAGTAGGTCGGTCTATGGCTGTGGCTGACTCAGAAATTAAGGCAAGAGTCCGAGGCAGCAGGACTGCAAGTTCAAAGCCAGCCTCAATAAAAGTGAGGTACTAAGCAACTCACTGAGACCTTGTCTCTAAATAAAATACAAAATAGGGCTAGGGATGTGGTCAAGAGCCCCTGAGTTCAATCCCTGGTACTCTGGCACCACCCCCACCACCCTGCCAAAAATTAAGTTAACTATGTACGCAAAATTAAAAATGACATGATGTACAACAAAATGTGAATGGTATGATTATCATTTGGTGACAAAATTTTGAGCTATCCTTATTTTCTTCAATTCGCCTTTTCACATTTTTATCTTTTATAACAGGAACATGTATTATTTTGTAATGGAACAGAGATTGCTATTTCTTTTATGTGGATCTAACACATGGTTTCACCATGTCAGATTCTACATGATGCAGTGGGAGAGAAAATCAGCAGAGCTGTTACAATTGCCTCTAAACCCAAACTCCTGAGCAAGGTGCTACTGGGAAGAATAGCACTCCAGTTACATACCTGAGCAATGCAGTACTCCTTAGGATTTTCTTTTTCCAGACCATATTTCTCTAAAGCTTCCGCCACAGCAAAGTCTGCAGGATCCGTAGTAGACAGTAGGATTGTCTTATAGGGAATGTTTGGTTTTAAACTATCTGCATAAATTCTCAACGTTCCACCTGAAAAAATATTTTGACACCTTTGAGTACAACTTTATTTCACACCAATGACAGGGACATCAGACATCTGCAGCAGCATAGGAGAAGGCTCTCAAGTACCAACTGCGATGGTGCACAGGCAGCCTTAGCACCGCCACTACGCTTTCAGCCCCCACAGGAAGACCTGCACCAAAGGAAGCTACTGCAGAGAGTGGGGGCAACCCTGAAGGAGAAGGCTGCACCCGTTCTCTCTCCACACCAGAGCCTTCTCCCCCAGGTGCAGCCCTGCTCCTGCTCCTGCTCCCACTTCTGCACTTGAGCATCACTCAACCTGTTCCTCCACTTCCACTTCCTGAACCTCGATCTGAAGTAAATGAAAAATTAAACCCACTAAGCAGATCCTCTTTTAAAAAATGAATACGAATGAGGAGATCTCAGGTGCACAAGCCCAAAGACTTTTCATGAGGGGTGTGCCAACAGAGCAGGGCTCTTTAATTCCTCGATAGAAATGACATTCTAGTTTGTACTAACTGTGAACTCATTTGAGGGGGGGAAAAAAATCAGCCAGAGCAGAGCACTCTGGCACCCTGAGGTTCTGTTGGTTCTTATTCATGAAAATCCACAAATGCACACGTGGTGTACTATTGCCACTCCTAGGAGTCCGCATTCTACTTATGGCCCAGGCTCGATAAGCACAAAATCCCCATCTACAGGAGAGAGCCTGAGGAAAGAAGGTAACAGGCTCCATGTCCCCATACCAAAGCATGATGTGCACATGCTCCTGTCTTCAGTCTTCAGTTTTCCCACCTATTAGGAGCTTCCCAGAGGTCTGAGGATCTCTTGGAGCAAGTTCTGAATCTCCATGACTCCCTAGGCCTCTGAATTCTGAAGCAATTATTCTGGCTGCTGAGTACTTCCCATGTTCCCTTCTTCAACTACTCTAGCATGAACCACATCTTGGTGATTGAGTCACAGTAAATTATAGTCTCCTAAGAATCTGGGAGACCACACCAGTGTAAGGATGTGAACCTGCTAGGCCCAGCCCCCTTATCTGGTGGAGATAAGGCTGCCAGCATATCTCCACCACGGGCACCCTCACACCAGCCAGAGCTGAGGACATGCGTCCTCTAAGACTCCCATTCTGGATGGGAGGTAGAATGCAGGGGAGAGAACTAACAAGAGAACAGATGCTGCGAGATGGCGATTCACATGTAAAACAGGAAGTATGGCTATGAGAGAGTGAGCAGCCAGGGATTCCTAAGCTTGGGGAATTGCCAAGGCCACTGAGACCTGAGGGACTTGACAGGGGAGCTTCCTGAGCAGGGCACCTATTCGTGCCAAGGCCCTTGGTTGATGAAGGCCTAGCTGGGCTCACTGGTCAGGGTGGATAAGGTGAGGGGAAAGGGGGAAGATACAGTCAGAGACTGGCTGAGATCAGATCACACAGGACTTCCTGACCTGATCATGACCTTGGGTTTTATTCTAGTTAGAGTTTTGAGAATGAGTGTGAGCATGTGTACCAATGCATGCAAACATCTCTACCCATGGGCACCTGCAGGGAGGAAGGCAAAATACCAGTGAACAAAAAGGACTCCAGCTTTGGGCAAAGGAGGGCAACTTCAGGAGTGAGCCAGAACAAGGCATGTGTCCACCTACTGGGACACTTCCCCTCCTAAGCTACGATCTGCCCCAGATGCAGATTTGAAAAAATCTATAAGCCATGTGTGTACGGCAGGACAGGCATGAAGTGTACAGACAGGCCCAGGTGGCATCTTCATGTTGCACACCAGACAACCAGGGAGACCAAGACCTGCTCTAAAAACTGACAAGATGAGTCTGCAACCTCACTGAGATGTCCACAGAAAAATACAAATGCATTTGACAAAATTATACTATGTGAATGTGTAAATACACCACAGTGAATTCCACCTTCACATATATCTATAACACACTGATTAAAAATGAATAAACAAGTGGAAGGAAGACTACAGAATAGAGGAAGGTCACTGCAGAAGATGACTGGAAGGAGGGGGTGGGAAGAGGTGGCACCGGGAACTGAAATGGAGGAAATTAAAACCCATGGGTGTATGATTATGTCAAAATGAACCCAACTATTGTGATAATAAGAGCAAATAAAGTAAATTGCAATGGGCTGACACCTAATTTTTGTTTAAAAAATGTACATTTTCTAAATCCTCAAAAATTCCTTTTTGATCCCAAAGTTACAGACTATTTTCACTATTTGGTCTGGAAAAAAATTATGGATGAAATTTACCAGGTCACTTTAAAAATCAGCATGGGTCCCACAGATGATTTAATCCTGAGCCACTTGGTACTCTTTTAAAAAAGACATCACAATGAGGCAGTTGTACAATTCATATTCTTGTGGCCAAATGAATTCAGTTATTGGATAGAATTACTTTTATTACTATCTGAATATTTTAGAACATCTGTCTAAAATGATGATTCAGTTTTAGTATAGTGAATGTTGAGTCTTTATGAAACACTAAAAAGCAATAAACAGGTACAGTCCAATTTAAGAGATTTCTAGTTTTATAAGCACAAAACTATGTTTTCAGAGCACAGATATACCCTCCCACACATGACAAGGAAGGAGAAAGTGAAGAGGAGGACTAAAGTCCATCACGTCAGTTCTAAGACCGACAGATGCATTATTTCCCCATTTTGAAAATGAACACACTGAGGTTCAGTTTGTGCACAGGTTTCCAATGCACCCTAACTCCAGGCCCATGTCTTTCTGTAGTGCCCCAATGCTCCCAGGATTGTGTGCCGAGAACTGGTAGACAAAGGAGTGACTCTCCAGAAATTCTTACAGTTAATGAATGTCTCAGTGAGAAAACCCAAGACAACAATTGGTAGAATATCTGCACCACCAATCAATTAACTGAGGTATACAGAGCATTTTGGGGCCAACTGCACTTTGAAGACTTCACAGGGGGAACACACTTGCATGTTAAAAGCCTGACAAGTGCAGTACAAGCCTGTTCGCATGGAAGACTTACCCTCAGTTGAGCCAGTGGCTACTGGAGGCTATCAGGTCCATTTTTCAAAGTAATTAATTCATTAAAACAGACAGACAACAACTTGAATTTAATACTTTTGAGTTCCTTAATATTAACCATAAAGAGTGGAGTTTTTTCAAGATGGCAGAATAGAGGAGATCACTTTCCTGGCTGATCCATGGTGTGAAACCAAGAAAGCAGACAGGCAACTTCTGAGGAAGGCAGGTGAGAAAAAAAGGACTTTACTGGGAATTAATACTGGACCTTCAAAGCAGATTCGGGACTCAGGAGGTCGGATATAATAAAATAAGGAAGAAATCCCCAGCTCCACTCCTGCTGCCACAAGCTAAGACACTATCCAGAGTGGGCCCACTGCAAGCCAGGTGGAGGATAAAGGAATTAGGCAAAAGAGGAAATTACAGGATACAAATGGTAAAAGAAGAGTTCCAACTATCCTATTTGCTGATGACATGACCCTATACCTAGAGGACCCAAAAAACTCCACCACAGAACTTCTAGAACTCATAGAATAATTTAGTAAGTAGAAGGATACAAAATTAACACCTACAAACCAATTGCACTCCTATATACCAATGATGAATCAACTGAAAGAGAAATTAAACCAATCATTCCATTCACAATAGCCTCAAAAAAATAAAACATTTGGGAATCAATCTAACAAAAGAGGTGGAAGATTTCTACAATGAAAACTACAGAACACTAAAGAAAGAAATTAAAGGAGACCTTTGAAGATGGGAAAATCTCCCATGTTCTTAGAGAGGCAGAATTAATATTGTCAAAATGGCCATACTTCCCAAAGCACTATACAGATTTTATGCAATTCCTATTAAAATTCCAATGACTTTCTTCCTAGAAACAGAAAAAAAGCAGTCATGAAATTCATTTGAAAAAATAAGAGGCCCACAATACCCACAGCAATCCTCAGTGAGAAAAATGGAAGTAGAAGCACAATACCAGACCCTAAGTTATACCACAGAGCTACAGTGACAGAAACGGCATGGCACGGGCACCAAAGCAGACATGAAGACCAGTGGGACAGAAAAGATACAGTTATCTCGCACTAGACAAAGGCACCATAAGCATGTACTGGAGAATAAACAGATAGCCTCTTCAGCCTCTTCAACAAATGGTACCAGGAAAACTGGAAATCCATAGGTAGCAACATGAAATTGAACCCGTATCTCTCACCCTGCACAAAACTCAACTTGAAATGGATCAAGGACCCAGGCACTAGACCAGAAACCCTGCACCTTCTAGAAGAAAATGTAGGACCCACTCTCCAACACGTTGGCTTAGGAATCGAATTGCTTAACAAGACTCCAAAAGTGCAAGAAGTAAAATCAAGAATCAATAAATTGGGTTGTAGAAACTAAAAAGCTTCTTCACAGCAAAGGAAAGAATACAGAATGAGAAGAGAGAGCCCACAGAATGGGAGAATATCTTTACCACAGGTACCTCAGATAGAGCACTAATCTCCAGGATATGTAAAGAACTCAAAAACGTAACCCCCAAAATACAAATAACACAATCAATAAATAGGCAAAAGCTCTGAACAAGCACTTCACAGAAGAAGAAATACAAATAGTCAACAAACGTATGGGAAAATGTTCAACATTTCTAGCAATTAGAGAAATACAAATTCCATGTCATTCCAGTCAGAATGGCAATTATCAAGAATACAAGAAACAATAAATGTTGGTAAGGATGTGGGGAAAAATGTTCACTCATACATTGCTGGTGGGACTGCAAATTGGTGCAAGTACTAAGGAAAGCGATATGGAGACTCCTCAGAAAACGTGAAAAGGAACCACCATCTGACCTAGTTATCCCACTCCTTGGCTTATAACCAAAGGACTTAAAAGCACCATACTCAGTGACACAGCCGCATCAATGTTTATTAGCCACTCAATTCACAATAGCTAAGCTATGGAACCAACCCAGGTGCCCTTCAAGAGATGAATAGATAAAGAAAATGTGGTATATAAATAAACAGAATATTACTTAGACACAAAAAAGAATGACTTTTGCTAGTAAATGGATGGAACTGGAGACTCTCATGCTAAGTAAAATAAGCCAATGCAGAAAACTAATGGCTGGATGTTCTCTCTGATACAACAAGGGAGGCAGGGAATAGAAAGTCAGTGGATTAGACAAAGGAGAATGAAGGAAGAGAGGGAAATGGAAAAGGAAAGACAATAGAATGAACTGGACATAACTTTCCTGTGTTCATGTATGAATATGTGACCAGCAAAACTCCACACCATGTACATCCACAAGAATAGGATCCTAATTAAAATAAGTTCTACTCCATGTATGTATAATGTGTCAAAATACACTCTACTGTCATGTATATCTAAAAACAAATAATAATTTTTTAAAAACTACAAATAGCTGCTTTGCCCACAGCATTTACTTTCTTAAAATGTTTTCCTGGGAATCTAACATATATAAAAATGTTCCTTTTGTGCCCAGCCATCCCTTTAATAGAGAAGCTCTGCTTGCGAATTCTACTGTTTCTACTCTGAATTCCTGGGGTCTTTTTTCTATTTTCTTCCTGGGCCCCTAGAACACTGCCTAACTGTTCTGCTTGCTGTTGTTTTTCATCACCGGTACGCTTTCTCTCCAACGAGCCTCACCCACACCCATACAGATAACCTTCTCCACCTCCATCGGACACCAAAGAGCTGGGCTCTAGTTCAGTCACTGAGTCACCAGCCCAAAGATACCCCACACGATGCCAGCACCTCACCTGACACAGGTTAACCCATCTTCCACCCCAAACATTCCCTCGCTCCACAGCCCATCAACCTCTGTCCAACACTGCTGAGTAAAACCCAGTCTTCATGGGGCCCAGTATTCCACCCTCCAACATCCCTCTATGCGCTGTGTCCTCTGCCTCCTACGGGCAACACAGGCTTTCCTAGATCTGCTGCGTCTACTCACGATTCCCTCAAATCCAGCTTCTATGCTGCCTCCACAATCATCTCTCTAGATCTGAAGCTGAGGCTAAATTCAAAGCTTTTCAAATCCCTAGCTTAAAACTCTTCAGTAGCTCATTGACAATGCCCATCAAAATTTCCTATCAAAATACCCAGACATCAGTGGAATATAGGTATGAGCATCTGGGAGTACCAGCTAAGGGACATGCAAAAAGCTTCCTATTTTCTTAAAAAATGTACATACATGTTACATTTAACACACTAATGTGGATTAGAAGGTTTAAATAAACACTCAAGTGACTTATAAAAATTGATACTGCAAGCCAGCTTTTAATTGCGACTCACATGCACCTGAACTTGTGCTTGGGGCTCCTCCAAGGAGCAACGGACTCTGCTCATTTCAGGGACACCTCAGGCTCCTTCCTCTGGCCAGTACCTTCAGGTCTGACAGAGGCTGGCACAGGGAGGTATTTCTGAATACTCCTCTTGAGCTTTTTAAAATTTTTGCTTCTTTATATTTCTCTGCCTTTTTTGGTTGCATGTAGTTATAAATCATGACAAATTCTTGATAGAACACGGGACACATTTAAACAAAAAAATCTTGGTTCTCAAAAATGCCTTATTAAAATATTTAAAGAATCAAGAAGTCCCTCCTGCTCCAAGTCCTAGTCTGTTTGTTTGTTTGTTTGAAGTCACCAGTCCTACAATTCCTGTGAAGTATCTAATTAAGACTTGTTTTCAGTGCACTGAGGATAGAAACAAGGCCCCGTGCTGGGGCGGCTGGGGTGGCAAGCTGGAGCCGTCTGGAACCCACGCTGAAATGTGCTAGAGCCCCGAGTCCTCAGCATTCACTGGCCTAGGGCAGGACAGTGACCACACATTTCCGAACACAGTCCATGGAGCCCACCTCCGGTGTGGAGACCAGAATGATACACAGACAAAACACATTAATACCAGCCCAGGAATGAACACAGGTGTGAAACTGCCTCCCAGTCACAGACCCAGCCTCACGCGCCGGACCGTGGCTATAAACTCAAACTGGACAAGCAATGACACCTTCGACGCAGGAGAGAAAGGCCTGGAACCGAGCAACCCTTCCAGACCAAAACTATGATTAAAAAGGGCTTCAGAGAAATCCTTCCAATCCTCACATCCCAAACCCTACAATTATCAAGTAGGCTAGCAGGTGTAAAAAGTAAATGTCCAAAGGTACAATTCTGAAGCCCCTGATGTGACATTACACAAGAAACGTGGAGGTGGAGGCCAGACCAAACCTCTGTGGTCAAGCTGGATCAATAGAGTGATTTTTTGTTGTTTAAACTCAAATGGATATGCTATTGTTGTTTTAACAAGTAAAAGAACTTCGTAACTAATGTGTAATTTTGTAACAACTAACTTGTAACTTTGTAATAAATATCTTCTTTGCTGAATACAATTACAGATTGAAGTAAAAGTTTTAGGTCAAAAAGCTAAAAATATTCACAACCCATGCATAATTAGAATAGCAAGATTATCTATTCCCATTTCCCTCAAAACTACAGAACAAACTCCAGACATGCTGGCAGAGGGAAGATGAGGTACGAGAAGAGAACACCGCGCACTGCTCACAGGACCACTTGCCACGCTTCTCCATGAGCACCTTAGTTTGTAGGACTGACTTTGAAACTATGAAAAAATGTAAGTTATGAAGACACAAACTTCTAAAAGTAAGAAACAAGTGTAAATCAATAAGGGAACATGGCCATACAGATAGGAACTGTGTGATTTTAAAACACAGCAATTTAACAGTACATCTTTGTAAGAAACACCAACTCCCCAAAAATCTCAACATGTTTTTTGAACCCTATTGTTAACAGTAACACTGTTTCTATGTTTACAGAAAAAAAAAAAAAAAAAACAAAACAATCATGTTGATGCTGTTAGGAAGAAAGAATGCTACTGTAAAAGATACCCAGGTTTTCTAACATCAAAATAATTTAAAGGAACAAGGACTCCTGAGAGAAGCAACCATCTCAAACCCCAGGAAGGACATGCACAGGAGGGACATCCCACCAAATACCAAGTCACTCAAGACCACCAGTAGCCAAGGCCCAGAAAGAAGCTTGCTGGAAGACTCTGGCTGGCTCCAGGTGTCACTTCAAGAACCACAAAGGAAAACAACTGCTGTGGATCAGAAACATAGGAGGGCTGTCCATCCACAAGCTTGATAAAAAGCCTTAAGTCACTGCTCCTTGTGAGAAGACAATCAAGTAAGTGTTCTGGACCTCTCTCTATCTACACCCAGTCAAGAAAAGAGAGAAAACAAAAAGAAAAACAAGGCAACTGACACAAAAAGATACATCCAGCAGAATCTACAAGGTCAATGACAAACCAACTAAAAAACAAAGAAGTAAAATGTAAGGGAAGAAAAGGAATTTTACTGTAAAAAACTTCAAAGGCATATTAATCAATGTGTAAGTCACTTCTGGATCCTAATTAAAATAAACATTAATCAATTTTCATGTGTGTCACTTGGTTCCCACTCCAACTAAAGGAATTACCAGAGACAGCTGGGAAAATGGAAACAATGTTATTTGATCAAAGTAAAAAATTACTATTAATTTTTTATATGTAATAATGGTATTGGAGTTATACAAAATAATAGTTTGGGAATGGAGCAACGTATATTGCAGAAAAGAAGAAAAGGGTTGTTGATCACTGAAATTCTATGATAAGTGCATGAGTGTTCACTACTTCTTTCTCCTTTTTATATATCTGAAATACTCTAGAATTTTTTTTTTTAAGTTATGCTGGCTATTTCTTTATGGAAGAGAATTCTTTTACCCAAGAGAGTGCACAGATCTGCTTGGTGTTACTGAAGATCTGCTTGGTGTCGCACAGACAGAAAACCAACTTGGTGTGTACCTGAATCGGGCCTCCCATCTGAGCTTCGGAACTCCTGCATCCTCTTCTCCAGCTTTTGCTGCCGCCGTCGTTTCATAACCACTTCAGGATTAGAAATGGTTCGAGTAAAGCTGGTTTCCGGCATGTCCTTGTATACCTCAGCAGCCAGTCGGGAATTCTCACTGAGGAAAGAAGTGGTAACAGAACTTTAAACCTTTTTCCACTGTAACACAAAACTATATGAAATCAAAAGAGTAGATGCTACGGCTACCTCTTACCCCATGGAAAAGTTGTGTATACTCACCATGTGCTAATCAATTACTATGAAATAGAGAATATACTCTCTCGATAATATACCAAACTAAGCAGATATCTTCAACAAAATCCTTATCATTAGGTCACACAACTTAAGTGCTGTATTATATTCAATAACAAAACAAAAGGAAAATCTACAGAGTATACATTAAAGAAATTCTGACTATTGTTATCCTAAAACTAACCAAATGAATGATATTATATCACAACTTTCTAACCATGAGAAATAATTATAGGATTGATTGCACTTAAGTAAGAATCTTATTTAAAATTATAATAAATCTTCAAGATCTCAAATTAGTGAAATCTCATGATTTTGTAAAACCTAAAAGATTTACCAACATCACTTTACTAAAGTTAAGCTTTCAAAAGGAAATTGTTCTAACAATTTCTGTAAAGGAATCAACTACAGAGTGATGAGCAGAAAACTAAATATTAAGACAAAATGGAAAAAGTGATATGCTATTAATAAATACACCTAAGTACATAATTTTCATAATTAAAATCAAATTTTAATTAATCAAGTTAACAATATAATTCATTTTAAGTAGCTCATTTTCTAAATCAAATTATACATAGTCTCAAAACCTAAACTGACAAACACAGCAAACCATAAGGCATTAGTTTTAAACAAGACTTTTTTTTTTTATAAATGACCAATTGATCTATGCAAATTTCTTCTTCCTTACAACCACATTAAATACAACCTGCTACACTGTGCCCAGGTGATTATATCCCTGAACTGCTTATTAAACTAGTTTTGCTATATCTCAAATAGGCGCAAATTCCACTCTAAAGGACACGTCATKCATGGACACACAGAAAATATCAACTCATTCTAAAAAGTGGGAAGAAAACAAACTCAAGGAGACCACTGCACCACAAAAATATAAATGGCTAATGAACACATGAAAGATGTTACCTTTTGAATAATACATTAAATTTAGTATGTGGAGAATATCATATAACACAGAGGTAATACACTGATCCAAGAGGTATGAGATGTAAGCATGTAAGAAAATGAGAAGGGGTGGTCAGCCAACAAGCTGAATACTCAAGTCACAGTCCTGGAAATCTCCCAAGGAGACACACAGACCTGCTCCTACCCACTGTCCCTCGGTACCTCCCCAGAAGCAATTGGATGAGTGCCTGTAATACCAGAAGGATGTTCACTGGGTCATTATTCAAACCTAGGGTAGGGAGGTGGGCTATAAACAAATACAGGTACATTAAAAAAGAATCAGGTACATAAATGATGGAAGAACCATGTGACAGAATGCCATACAATCTTAGAACTGTTTTTGTGAAATACATATATACAGGAAAAATACCATGTAAAAAGTTCCAGTTGAAAAAGCTGTGATTGTACTTGTTTAAAAATCTTCTATGTAAACACTTTAAGTATATATATTTGTACGGAAAAACAGACAGGATTAGCTTCTCTTGGGTTCCTCATGGGTTCCGGCCCATCTGCTGTCTGACTTTCTGAAGTGTATGTTCCTTACTTGGCCATGTAACATACATAGTACAAGGCATTCAATACCAGGGCACAGAAAGCTGCCCAAGGGCAGGTTGAACTAGCAACTGGATGGGGCAGAGTGCACGCTGGGAACTAGAGTCCACCTAGGGAAAGTCCAGGATGTGACCTACATGTCTTTCTGTTATGCAGAAACACAGAGATTTCCCTTATTCCCTCATCTCTGAGCTTAGGAGCTCAAATATCTTGGGACAGATAAAGTGCACCTACCATAAGGCTGGAGTAACAGGGCAGGAATGGGGGACTTGATGTGTCTGAACCTTCAAAGGGAAAACCTGGTTTTCCCTGGCCTTGCCCCTTCTACCAGACATCAGTGTCCCGAGGCACACAGGAAACCCTGCCGCCCCATTCCAGATGAGGCCTCTGGCAGCAATGCTCCACTCAGGAAACAGGCACCTCAGTCATGTATGCTGGGGTGAGCAGGAGGGTGGGCAGGCTTCTAACCTCAGGGGACCTTCCTTAGGTAAGACCCGTTTACTCCCTAACTTGGTGGGTCAATCTGCATCCTTCGCATAGCCCTCTGGGAAGGCCAAAGCCAGTTGCATTAAGAACATCTGTGGGCTGGGGCTGTAGTTCAGTAGTAGAGCACTTGCCTAGTACATGGAAGGCACTGGGTTCGATCCTCAGCACCACATAAAAATGAAAAAAAATAAAATAAAGGTACTGGGTCCATCTGCAACTAAAAATATTTAAAAAAAAAAAAAAAAAAAAAAAAGCACCTGCTTGCAGTGCAGAGCAATGGGAGTACTTCCAGAGCAAACCCACCTGTCATCCCCTCGAGAAGGTCCATCCTCCTTATCAGACGTCTGTCTCAAGGCCTCCTTTTCTCTCTTCTTTTTTTCTTTCTTTTCTTTCTTTGAGAGAGTTCTCTTGAAGTTCTGTATAACACCTTCTTTTTCCTGCTTTTCTGGTCCATTACTTTGAACCTTCTGATAGAAGTAACATCGTCACTTGTTAGCCACCACCCAGGAATAGCATAATGTTCCCTGTGGGGAGGCTTTCTTCTCCACACACAGCATCTCAAACCAGGTGAACTCTGGGGTGTGGGGACATTACATACAGTGAGGACCCTAGAGTGACACAGGCAATTTTTCAAAACCAAGTGAATTACGTACTCAAGTCTGTGTGTTCAATTTATATAAATTTACCTAACTTTCAAACTAATTGAGCAAGCAGGCAAACAAACACTCAAAGCTAGTAAGAACACTGGGGTTTGATTCATGAAATCTGACTTTTAATGACTAAAACTCCAATAAGTTACCATAAAGTAACCTCAGTAAAAGGAGCCTAATAAAACATAGAAATGAGGAGTCTAAATCACCATCTGCTTAGTAGGTACATTTCTTTAACTTCAGAAGAAACGTTAAGAGTAGTCATAATAAGTGGCTTTCACAAACCAGGGTCCTACTTATCAGCTTTCTGCAAAACCCCTGACTGCTTTTTCAGGCCTTGTATGTGTTTGCTTGTTCTTAATCTGCTTTTCAACTACGAAAAGGCCGTCCCACATAGCCACATTATTTTTAGGTAGAAACTTAACAGGTGAAGAATTTTAAAAAGAAGAAAAAGATAAAGTACTGGAGAGAAAACTGCCTTTTACTTTCTAAGATGGGGGAGTAGAGAACATTCATGTTCCTGTTTCCATTCTGGAATCTTTTACACTGCACTGGTCCTAAGAAGAGTTTGCACCTGGCAATGAAGGTTTGTGGCCCTCAGCAAAGTGAACAGAATGCACAGCACCAACTGAAATCACAACACAAGGATGAAATGAAATGTGAGTGCAGGACCACAGAAACCCATTCAAACCTGTGTGCATCACTTCAGGTACAGTCAAGTCACTAAACACGGCCACGAGGAAATCCAAGACCCCATGCATAGGTGTGAGGATCAGCAAGCAACACTGGCCTCACACAGAAGGAAAGTGTTCTGCCACTGTGAGCGAGCAATGACAGTCTCTCTCAGTGTACAGGGGGTTGAAGAGAAGAATCCCTCAAAGTCCTCTGAACTTTGCATTTGCTACTACTTGCTAATACTGAATTCCTGGAAAAGATGCTATCTGATTTAGCAAAGATTATGTAGTATTTTGAAATTATATCAACATTTCTAGTATTCCACAGAAAAAAGAACAGTAGTACAGAAATTCCAGATGACCCAGGCAAGATTTAGAACTGACACGGCTCCCTGGCCACCAGCCACACAGCCAACCCAATAATCCCTTCCAAAGCAGTGAAGCATGACTGGCGCAGGCCTGAGGCACAGCAGGCCAGTGCCAAGGTGAGCCAGGGCATGCTGACATGTCACCCAGCTATGGCCCAGCCTAGGCCTGGTGCAGACGCCCATTGCAGAAGCCCGCTCCACACAGCACCACAGCTCAGAACCACCAAGCTTCTATAATCCAATAACCTCAACCTCTTACTTCCCCATGAGCAGTGGAAAAATGAAAGTGGAGCAGACCTGGAAAGGACTGCAGGTGAGTCTGGGCTGGTACTTTTCCAAACCCTGATTAGCATAAATCTGAACCAAAAATATTGACCCAAGGATACATAAACCCCTACACTAACACACTCCAATATGGGAATCCCCTTTCACCCAGCAGGAGATGTGTTTCTATTCACACTTGAATAAATCCTGTTCTTACACTCACTCACCCTCATCTGTGGATTTCATTTTTCAAATCTGCAAGTCAAGAACTCAGAAAGAAAATATTGGCAATGAGCTGCTGAGGTATGCCTCAACACCGAAGGGCATAGCCGGCCTTTAAGAGCTGCAGCACATTTCTTGGCTGCAGAGCCTGCAGCCTGTGCAGAGCCTACCTGCCAGCATAAGTGGAGAATCTAGTTTCATCCCAAACTCCAGTTTCAGAATCATCCCTCCATCATCTAAGCACACCAAGAGTTTGCCGATTCCTAACCTCACTTGTGCACTGTGGAGGGTTGTCATGTGCCTTTTGCAGTGGCATCTGAAAGTTCACTATAAATAGATTATCAGAGCTTCCTCTTCCTTCCTGATTCTCATTAAAGCAATTCTGATTTTACAGCTTGGGGAAAGAATGGAAGGTGATAACTTGATCACTAACTCAGTCACAAAAACTTACTCCTCTTTCAAGAAGTGAGCAGCAGCATCTGGGGCTACTAGATGAAATGAAGGGTAAAGCAGACACCATCAGGCTGCTTTTATGTTCTTTTCTAGGAGGACAGTAGAGGGATTTAGGGAGAGAAGACAAATAGAAGGAGCTCCTGTAACAAAAAATCCAGTTTGCTCCCACCCAACCACGGTCAGCATGAGATAGGGAGGCACCACCTTAGCAGGGGCTGCATCGTTCTCATTCTTGAGCACAAATCTGCCTTCCCGGTCATCTTTGTTCCAATTCAACTGCACAACTAGAGGCTTCTCATCAGTGTCCAATCTTCTTTCTTCTTTAAACATGAAATGGAAAAAAAAAAATATGCCGTAGTTATTTCATGGCATCAGCACAATAATTGGCCAAGTCATATAATTTAATTGTATACAGTATTTTATTCCCCCAAGGATCTGCTGACAGACTGAAATGCACTGTTCAGAATGTCAAATCAGTGCTTAGTATTCTGTCAATACTGTGTGCCCACTACCGTGACGAGTGCCAGGTCTGACAGGGGCATTCCCCTTGTTCAGATATAACTGGGAAAGAAAGGAGAAATATACATGGACGAGGATAAAGTAAACACAACTCTGCTGTGACTTTATTTCTGAAGTCAAATCATCTCTTATGCAACTAGAAAATAAGAAAATGATGTTAATACACTGCAGAAGTTCCACAGGCTTACTACCTTAATGTTACATCCTACAAGCAACAGCAATAGCACACAATCAGTGTAGAAGTGACTGCAGTGACCTTCTGCTCTTCCTACCTGCATATCCATCTCTGAAGCTTGCCAATCTCGACCCTCACTCAGCTCGCCTTCACCAGAAAGCTGCCATGCCTTTCTCTGTGTTCCAGTGAAGTGCGTGACTGGTGCACTGAGTCGCCCAGGGAGCAATTCCCAAGTGCTCCACAGAGCCTGACATTTCCAAAATCCAGAAGCCTATGGTGGGGTACAGGCTCCAGGGAGAAGGCCCTGAAGGATGGAGCAGGCACAGCATCACTCAGCAGGGAAAAGACTAAGGAGCAGGGCCAGTCCACCTAACTCTAAGAGCACATTCCCAGGTGTCCTCCTCGTCCCTGGAGAAACCCATTCACCATGCTTTTCCTGTTACTTTGTTATAGCCACTGCTACAAATTTAAATAGTTTTGAATAACCTGCCCATTTTTTCTTTCTTGTGAAGTCTGCCCTGGCATACATTTGGCAGAACATGAGCTCTTCCAGGAATTCCTGCTGCAGAAGCACCTGTACAAAGCTTCCTCCCTACACAATGCTTTACAACCCTTGTGAACAGGAGGACCCAGCACTCCCAGGCTTAAATAAAGGAAACTCATCATAAAACCAAAGTATCTGATAAGGCAGGGGACAGATTCCCTTTCCTATGGGCATCCTCCCGTGTCCAGCTTTGCCACTGCACAGCGGGCTGGCCARCACATCACCAGGAGCACGGGCAGTGCACACACTCAGCCACTGTCGGGTAGGTGCAAATTCTGCACAGAGTGAGACTACATGGTGCTAGTCAGTCAGCAAATATCTCTTTAGTTAAAGAGTTAGCTGGCAAGGGCGGTGACAGGAGAAAGGTCCAGCTCCTGAAGGCTGCAAGAGCAATGAGGCGTGCTGGTTCCACGATGGGCCAAGGCTGCTCCTCATAACCAGGCTCCACAATGGCACAGAAAGTAAAGAAGCAGAGCCCGGACTAAAGATTGTTTTGTGAACTGGCCTGTACATGACACTAAAACACTGTTAAATTTGAGATTGACCTCATTTCTCAAACAAGGTCACTATCAAAATGCTTTTGCAGGGCTGGGGATATAGCTCAGTTGGTAGAGTGCTTGCCTTGCATGCACAAGGCCCTGGGTTCAATCCCCAATACCACAAATGGCACTGTTCACTGTACAATGTTTTCAGATTGACGTGGTGTTATTTTAAGGAGCTTGCTATAGGCATTACGCATCTCTGGGTAACAGGCTCTGGTGTAGGTAATAACACATCAGTGAACACACCAGGAGAGGCACTTCAGAGCCACCCTGGACTAGGGTTCTCCAATGAAGAGCCCCTCTAGAGCACAGACCCAGACAGGACTTGAAGGGAAGGAAAGGTGTAGGATGGTCCAGAGAAGGTCAGAAAGACAGGCAGGGAGTGTGGCAGAACTCTGGGCACTGGCATGAGCATAGCCCCACACCAGGTGAGAACTGTCATCTGATCAATACTGCCAATGCCATGGCCAAATTAAGATTCTACAAAAGCACTAGCATCCCCAGCAAGGGATGGCACCACAATGATGGATGACGACATAATGGTGCTCTCACCAAGGCTGCACAGAGAACCCAGATGACCATATCAAGACCCGCCACCATGAGGCCAGCCACAGGCTCACTGTGACAAAGGAGGCAAGCATGCCAGAAAGAGCTAGACTTCCAGAGGTTCTTAGTAAGCACTATATACAAATAGTAAGGCAACGTATCAGAATGCAGGAATAATAGGTTATGAATTAATCAACTGAAAATCAGCTTAATAAACTAGTGATAAAAATCAATAAATTTGGTCAGGTGTGGTGGCACACACCTGTAATCCCAGCAGCTTGGGAAACTGAAGCAGGAGGATCACATGTTCAAACACAGCCTCAGCAACTTAGTGAAGCCCTGTGTCAAAATTAAAAAAATTAAACAGGTTGTGACTCAGTGGTAAGTACCTCTGGGTTCAATTTCTGGTATCAAAAAAAGAATCAAATTTGAATTCTTGTATAAGCAAGAATTATCAAACTGTTCTGGTTACAAAATTTATACTAGATTGAAATTCCTCATGATGTCATAATTAACATTAAAACTAAATCATAAAAGTAAAACAAAATAAAGGTGAGCTGTTCTTAAAGCATGGTGAGAAATCACTAAATGTAAACATAAGGTGCTCTGGGCCCCTCTGCACTTTAGTCACTAAAAAGTCTTTCTGCCTTAGTTTTTCATGATTTTTTTATTTGCATAATCTTTTATGTTTCCACTTAAATTCCTATAAGGAATCTTATCCAGAAAAAGAATAAAAGTGGAGTTTCCCTGGTGGGTGACATAAGGGTCTGACCCCAGAGTTATCCCACAAGGGCTGGCAGGTAGACATGATGAGTTGCCCTGTGACAACAGGCTACTGGGGAGCACTGAAAGGTTTGAAGGATCCAAGTACACCTGCCAGGCACCAAGAGAGCCCTGACTCCAGGACTATGTTGACTCTGCAGCATCACCTTGGTCAGCACCGTGGATGCTGAAATAAGTGAGTACTGTCTGAAAACCCACATGCACAGGAAGTGAGAGCCAGAGTGTGACAGGTTTGGCAGACCCAGGAGACACCCCCCATCAACAGCAGCAGTTGTGATAAGAATGAGATGAAAAGCTTAGTGTGCTTCCCATTTTATATGTGCTATTTTTTTCAACCATCTACCAGATTATTAACTAAGTATACACCAATTGTCAGAGTCTACCTATTTAAACTGGACTACTGTGTATTTCCTTTGGCCTAGTAGGGTCATTAAAAAAATCACTGAGATACTAAGGACTCAGGGAACCCTGAAAACATGTGTGCTTGGATTCCCGGGTCTGAGGTCCGGTGCAATACATAGAGCAGGCAAGGACACCAAAGGGCTAGGGAAAGCACTTCCTTTGCCTTGAAATTCCTTTATTTTGTTTAGCCCATACCAAAAAAATAAAAAAAATAAAAAAAATAAAAAAAAAATAAAAAATACCTATTTTACTTTTTAATTAAAAACATCATAGAAAGTTTAAAGGAAAAAAGTTGAAACCATTCAACTTTTAGATATCAAATACCAGTCTTTCATCGTATTACTCCAGAGACTTTGGTAGGACCAAATAACCAGACAGCATGGATGGAAAAAGCATTTAAGACAGATATCTTCTTTTCTTTGTAACAAAGGTTCTAGGATAAAAGAAGAACTCAACCTGAGAAAAAATACCCAAAATTGCAAACATTCTCTATCGCCAAGTTTAGTTTGGGTATTATTTATACAGGGAATATGCTCAAATCCTTAAAAAGTAATGAACATGGCCCACCTCCTATACCACTGGGCAAAGGGTACCCTACATCTAGAAATCCCCCATGACAAACATCTCAGTCCAAATTCAAATGCAAAAAAGAAAGCTGTATATCTGAAAAAAATGGATTATGTTCAGAAAAGATTTGTAGTTAAAATTTACAACGGGGTTGTGTCAAACATAGCCTTTAACTTGCTGAACTAACTAACTGTATCCTGTACTTTTTCCACAGTTCATACAACACCTATAAAAATTGTATAAATTTCTACATTTCTAATCAATCCAACTGGAGTTGTCATTTGGTATAGTTAAGCTGTACATAATCATACAGAATGTAACATAATTTCCAACGTTCAGTCAAGGAGGAATGACAGCTACGTCAGGGGACTTTCCTTGAGATACCCAACACAGCCTGGAGAACAAGGAAAGCATGTTGCTCACCAGGCAGAAACACGACAGCAAGACCCACAACTTACACCACAAACATCTGACTGGCCACAGCTAGTTACAGAAGCACAACTGTATACCAGGCACACCCTCCAAAGGCACGAAGCACCCCACCACCATGCAGGCAACACAAGACATGCTGCACAGCATGAGCCGTCAACTGTCATGCCCCTTCCTTCACAGAAGCAAGCACTTCATGAAACTGAAATGTTCATTCTACTTCCAGTGAGCATAGGCGCTGGGAACTTCCCAGGCATAAGAACTGTTGCCAACCCACCCATCACTCCCCGCCCATGCAAAAAGGAGGCAGAGGGCTATGGTGACTGAAATGCACAGTGCAAGCTGTGCACTCCGGGTCAGGGATGCCTCCTAGCAAATGCTCTGCAAACACTAACCTCCGCTGACATGCACTTCATACAGTGAATACTTGGGAGACGACAGCATGCGCATGTCAGGGCGGAATTTCTCTGCCAGAGTTTCAATCACATCTTGGGTGGTAGCAGTGCTAGAGACGCGGATGCATTTTGTGGCAAAGTTTCCAGCAGCTTTATCTTGAAAATAAAATCTCATCACTCCATGGAACTCCAGATCCTAAAAAAAAAAAAAATACATTTTGAAAAAAATAACACTTTGAAGACATTCACTTTTGATAATTATGCATAATAAGTAAAAAAGATTAGTCATCACTTTCTAAAAATGTTTCTTTACATAAACACCTGAGGCACAAATTAATATGAGATTTTAATCTTCGAGTTTAAGTGACTCTGGACAAGCTGTTTAAGGTTCTCACTGCCTCACTGTCCAGATGGAAAACAATGGCTATGAGGAAACTAAAGTTGACGGCCAGCTTCACTGGTCCTCCCCAACACAGGCACATGTGGCGTACACTGTCTACTTCACCACCACCACAGAGCTGGGGAGTTTGCTTCAATCACCAACTCTGAGTCTCTGCTTGAGAAGAAAGGTGTGAGACAGACCCAGAACCACAACCCAGAGCCACTGCACTCCGAAGCCCAGCCCAGCCTATGCTGCCCCTGTGCTCTGAGCCCAGCTCTGAGCTTCTGAGCCATTCTCTTCTGAAAGTAAGGGGGATATGTCAGCCACAGTATGGCTACCACTGTGGATGAATGGAATTCTCAACTTTTCATGGAGTACAAGTGTAACAAATTCCCAACATGAACTACTCACCCTAGACAAACAATGCCCTTGATCCTTGTCTCAAAGTCTCACTTGCAGAGAAAAGCCACAGCAAACCCAGCCCAGGGAGTTCCTGCACAACTCCTGCTGTATGCATAGGAGACACCCTCTTTGGCTTCTCCCTTGAGCACAGAAGCACAATTCCTGAGGGGGTTCCCAGGAGCATTTCCAAGGCCAGGCCACTCCCACAGTGGCCAGCAGGAGGAGGGACTAGGCTCACCCTTGACTCCTCTCACCTCTCACTCTGGTTAGTACTTTCTCAAGAACCAACCAGAATCTAACCAAGAATTTGTTTCAAACACTCCCCCGGAACCCTCATCCCAACCCTGCTAAGTGGAATCACATCCACCCTTGGCTGCACACTCCATGGAAGCTTCCCCTTCTCTTAGAAGTCAATCTGACCTGGGGCCCAGAGCCAGGCCCATCTGAGCCTCTATTTCTCCCCAGTCCACTGGTCTTTTCTTCACAGTTACTTATAAACTAAGAAGTACTTATTTAAAGAGAAATACGAGATACTGGAGAGGGGTTTATAATTGTATAAACAACATGAAAATAAAATCAGGAAGCAAGACAGTAAAGCACACTTGCAGTTCAAATCTTCTCTGGGCCTGTTCACCCTAGACCTGCTCCATCATGCCTACCCCATTCCCCAGGTGCCAGGGGGTTTGGGGGAGGCAGGGTCCCCATCGTGGGGTGGACTTGAGAAAGCTTCCTCACTTAGCTAGGTAGAAGCTGCATTAGTAGGAGTCCGGGTCTGGTCTCTCAGAGATTATTAGCAACCACCTCTTTGGTATGGATAGAGTAACAAAGCAAACTCAACTGATACGCCTTTCAAAGTCCCATGTTGCTCTGGCAACCCTGGAACCTCCAAGTGACAGCACGTGAGAGGAGGCTCAATTGCAACCTGTGGGCCTGAGCTGGTCAACACCAAGCTACACCAGGCCCTTGCCAGACACTCTCAAGCACCCTGTTCAGCTTTCCTTCCATTCAAGAACCTTCCATTTCAGAATCCACTCTCCTTCACCAGCTCCAAAATTACTATAATGTTTAGTTATATAGATCTAAGTTTTCCTATGGAAGATGTATTTTCATCCCAAGAATGTGAGACTGCTACTGCCACCACCCCAAAGTCTCAAAGGTGAGCTGGCAGAAGCACCTTCCTTTTGACAGAAGTGACACCAAAAGGGTCCACCAGCCCCATGACACTCGGCCATCCTGTGAGCAGAGCCTTCACATTATCTGCAGCACAACCCCAAAGAACATGAAGGTACCAACCTTCCTGAGAGCAGTCAACAAGGGATCCCAGGCTAGGAGACGCTGAAGAATCATAACAGCGACATCACCAGCAGTGGGGTGGGGAGACTCTCCATCTGCATTAGCAGGATAGAGAGTGAATGGATAATGACAAATACAGGAAGGTGGAGAAGTCCACCTAACTTCTCATAATTCCTTACAGACAGATCACTACCCTTTACAGTGAAAAGGAAACTACAGATATAAACCTCCTCCCTAATGCTTCAGTTTCCAACCTTGCCTATAATGCTAGGAGGAAAGGGGAAACACAGCCAGTCAGAGGGGCAGAGCAAGTGCCCCCGCCCACAGCACTTGTATAGAGAAGCACAAGCAGTAACCTGAGAGGCCTGATGAGACCACGCTTCAGGCCTTACAACTTGAGTCAAGTACACAATGAAAACTACCTTCGATTTGATTTCAAATTGGTATTCCAGGAGTGTTAATAAGTTTGACATCACACAGAAGCAGCTGTTAAAGTTTAGATATGAGGTGTCCCCCAGAAACTCATGTGTGACAATGTAAGAAATGACTGTGTTATATGATCAGGGACTGAACTTCTGAAATCATGAGCCAAAATAGACTTTTCCTTCTCTACACTTTTTTTTTTTTTTTTTAAAGAGAGTGAGAGAGTGAGTGAGTGAGAGAGAGAGAAAGAGAGAGAGAGAGAGAAAATTTTTTTTTTTTTTTTTGGTAGATGGACACAACACAATGCCTTTGTTTTTATGTGGTGCTGAGAATCGAACCCAGCTCCGGCCCATGCTAGGCGAGCTCTCTACTGCTGAGCCACAATCCCAGCCCCCTCTACACTGTTCTTATCAGATCTTGGACCACACAATGAAAAAGCTGACTAAAACATCAAGTATACCTATGACCAGACTATTCCCTTAATAAATTAATAGGTTAACATTCTGTTCAATTATTTGGCCATTCCTAAGTTTGGCTAATATAAGTGTATAGAATCTTATGAAACCTGATAAATGGGGCTGGGGTTGTAGCTTAGTGGTTGAGCACTTGCCTTGCACATGTAAGACACTGGGTTCGATCCTCAGCACCACATAAAATAAATAAATAAAACAAAGATATTGTTTCCACCTACAACTAAAATTTAAAAAAAAAAAAACTGATAAAATTGAAAAAAAAATCAAGTTCCTGAACCTGAACACTGGAGTGTAAGGACAAAACTAACAAATTATTATTATTATTATTATTATTATTATTATTATTATTATTATTATCATACAAAAAGGGTTCACTACATGTCAGGTACTAAGAGTTTCATACTTAATTCCCCAAAATAAGAGTTGGGTGTGATCACCACCACCACCACCAAATGAGGAGAAACAGAAGAGACGGCACAGAGGGGCTAAGTCACCAAGCCTGCTAGGAGCAGGACTGGGATGTGCCAGCCCGAGCCATCAGAACAGGATTCGACATGGGTCTCTGCTTCCACAGGGAGGGGTGATGACTATTTTTCTTTAAGGAGAGTAGGAAACAAATGGCCCAGAGGTCAGCAACCTGCACCCATTGCCTTCCTGGACTGAAGTGGCATGCAATGAAGGGACGCATGCTCAAGCGGGGCAGAGGCCAGGCTGGCTCTGCCTCAGCACTACTGGCCCACATGTCAACCACCTGGGAGAGAGTAGAGGATACATGTCAGCATGTCAGGCTGCATCTTTAACTGAGTTACTTAACAATGCTGAGAACTTAAATTTCCTCAATTCTAAAAGGAAAATAAGCTTGTTTTGAGCATTAAACAAAACACATATAGCAACAAACATGCTGCATGACACAGAAGTAAGTGCCCAGTGGTCTCAGGTCTTGCTCTGCTGCCTCTCCCAGGGGAGCATGGCTGTTCTGAGGCAAGGAACCCACTTCATTCTTTATGCTAGGTCTTTCCTCAAGGCACAAGGCAATGCTCTGCAGGTAACTGTACAGCAAATTTCAGTCAGAACCCCGAAAGCAGACCCAACTCTTCCAGCTGAGGTATCCATTCCAACTGCTAAGAACCCTGGAAAGCAAAATGTTAAATTTGTAGTAAACAGCCATAAAGGCTTGAGGACAGGGCTACCATCCTAATAATGCTGCAGCCAAGCCAGCTATGATTTTTAAACACAAAGGCTGCCTTCGGGAAAAGCAGCACATCTCCCTCCCACAACACTGTCAGCTGTACAAACCACCAAGGACAAAGGATATAAATATTGCCATGTGACAGGTTCTCCAGGCTGAAAGGAAGAAACTGCTCACAGCACAGTATTTTTGAAAGAAAATGTTTTTATTTATTTTTTTATTATTTATTTTTTAGTTTTCAGCAGACACAACATCTTTGTTTGTATGTGGTGCTGAGGATCGAACCCGGGCCGCACGCATGCCAGGCGAGCGCGCTACCGCTTGAGCCACATCCCCAGCCCTTTTTTTTTTTTGAAAGAAATTTTTTTAGAACGGATAATAACTCCCCATAATCAATCCATCAGTACAGTCAGCGTACAATGCTAATCTAGGTAATTTAATTTGAAGGGAAGGAAAAGCAAGCCAGCAATCACCAATGCCACCTTCTTACAGGTAATTCCCCCTAACAAGACATGCATCTCTAGTATATATTTACCTTTGTATAGATTTCTCCCTCAGAAGTGATATCACCAGAAACAGAAACTCTATTTAGGATTAATTTCATTACAACTACAAACAAAATTATTTTATCAGAAAGAAAACAAAAATGCTACATTGTAGAATCACTAAAGAGCCAATATAAATGCCTTACCAACGCCTCACCAACTCATGAGACTGATGATCAATTGGTATTATTTTCCAATTTCCAATTTCCCCAGTAGGGGCTCAGTGAGAAACCTAAACCTTCCCTTGATAAAGCTAACCAGAACCATTAGTTCCACGACAAATGGACCAACCATGCACAATTCACTTCTCTTGCCTGTGTTCGGCACATATTGAAATTCACATCCCTCTCTAGCCTGTAACAAAAGCATTCTAACTTCAAACACCAACATCCCCATTCCAGTTCCCTGTGAGGAAACAAGGGGTGGCAGAACCAACCACTTTCCAGAACATTATCTACTTCTAGAGCTGGTGCCTCCAAAATATATAGC